TACAAACAATTTTGGTAATAATACGTATGCTACTGTAGTCAAATTTTAGATTAAAAACAAATATTGTATCATAAAAACTCATACTGACTGAAAACCTTTATGAGAATAATTTATCACATAACTGTTAGACGTCACTATAGTGTTGCTGTGGGTAACGTTCAGACATGGTTACAATGTCACTGTTAACGCCATAAGATGACCAAGAGGTATGTGAACACATAAATTTACTTTCAACCTGGAAGTTCTATCTAGACTGTATTAATGGCCACTAGTTTAATGGTGATTTTGGCTTTCTTGTTCTTATTTAGAGCTTTTCTCCATCTATATAATTTACACCGACAGCTTTCACATGTGAAATTTGGAAAATAAGTTGGATCGTTTGTAACGTCAACATCTTAAGATAATTTGATGTCTCTTGCGTACTTCGATTTTTTACAAGGCAAATGATGCGTGGTTCTCTTTTCTAGTTTTCCACACAAACGACAGTTAAATTCAGAATCCATGTCTGAAAGCTAAAGCAGATATAATACTTACAATGACAAAATTATTATTCATTATCTACCTAACTTGTCATTTACAACAAATAAGTATTAAAACAAGAATTTAAAAGAAATGAAATTTGACAATGAAAACATTAGTACTATTTAATAAACTAGCTAATTCATACGTTAATCAACTTAAATAATTAAGGGTCATGTCATCGTTATAAACAAAGAAAACCTCATTATCAGTTAACAATACTTAAACTTCTAGATAAATTAAAATGGATTTTACTGCCACAAGCCTAAATACATACATTGAATGATATGAGTAGAATATGTTTAAGTCAAATAACTCAGTTTGTCTCGTCACAAGTCCCGCACACAACTCAACAATTTGATTTAATTCGTTTCTTGGATGTCTCCACAAAGTTCCGACAACCCTGAATGTTTTTTAAACGTCTGATGGCGTGTACAACATAAAATTGACACCAATTTAAATACCGTCCAATTTAGAAAGCGGAGTGTATAATGAATATTCGGTAAAACAAAATGAAGGAAATCGAAAAAAGTTCGCCTGGCAAATAATTAAGCAGGCCTTGTAACAAGTGAAACGAATAATCCGTTTCAAACTCCTGATCAAAAGATACTTATGATGGTTTTATGTCTGTTTCAAAAATATCTCGATTAAATCGTGTGGTCCTGTTTTGTAGGTGGAGGTAGCCGTGATATCTATAAAAATATACAGACCCTTAACCGAATCGTAAATTCAACACTTTGCTTGAATAGTGCCCGGATGTGGTAATCTTTTGAAACTTTATTCTATCACCTCATCTGTCCGGAAAAAAAACTAACTGACTAAAGTTGATAAAAAAAGAAAATGTCAGAGAAAATGTGTATTAGGTATTGTCCCTTTCAATACAGAATAACTTAAACTTCTAGATAAAATGAAAAAAAATTAGTAGAATCGGAAAAGGACAAAACAATCCTCGAATTGGAACCATATTTTGCAGAAATGGTACTTCTATAATTCCTCTTTCTGATTTATTATACACGACTCCACAGACAACCCGAAGTGACCAATGACAAAGTTTTTTGAATTAGAGCATACAAGAAAATATGGTTAAAAATTGATTTTGAATGAACAGTTATGATGGAATTCGTCATCAAGGCGAGGAGTCTCAGAGAAATGTATACAAGCATTGCTTATTTAATTTGATAAACTGAATTGTAAAATTTGCGTCTTTTACACCATATCCAATTTTTAAAATAGTTTTTTTCGGTATGAAAATTATATCGGGCTTTGTGGAAAAAATATATTGAGGGAATGCAAATAACTTCTATTGTATCATGTTTACAGGGGTATGACTATTGTCTAAGGGTTGTGAGTGTGAGTTCATTAAATTTACCGGCCTAGAAAGCTATAAACTGGAATCCCTTGTATAATGCTTTTTGTTTCATTATTTTATTTTTTTAAGTTGTCAAGTACACAAATAATCTTTAAATTAGGATTTAAAACTACACATTTCTCTATTCTATAAACATATAAAATAAGGAGATGTGGTATGATTGCCAAAGTAGACAACTATTTACCAGAGAACAAATGACGTAAATGTTTGCAACTATAGGTCAACGTACTTTAGCCTTCAACAAGGAGCAAAACCCATACCGCATAAAAAGCTACAAAAGACCCTGGCATGAATTACAAATTTCAAATAAACGAACATTTTGAAAAAAAGAGTGATCGATGTAAAGTAATAAAATCAGATTCGGATGTTTTATTATTCCTTTATTTTGATCATTTTGCAGAATTTTCTTGTAGTTGTTCAACAAAATGAAAAGAAAAGGGGGACCAACGATCTTAAACTTAATCGATCTTTAATTACTTTGAAACAATGCAATGTTATGACAATAATATATGAATATACAAATAATGACCGAATTTTTGCATGATCCTCGTCTGTGTACTGTGGAATAAATTGTTATCATTTTATTGTTTCTAAGTCATATCAGCAGTATCAAACACACCCACACAGCAATGTCTTTTGAATGATTATCTTTGCTTTTTGAGATGATCCTCACTATCGTGTAGTAGCATTGGTATTTAACAGCAGCGCCAGAATCGTAACGACTTTTCTAACACGTCTAATATAAACAGTAAAAAACACAAAGAAATTAGAAAAAAAGCAAAATAACTTACCATGTACGTCTGTTTAAGTTTACGAACTTCTTGTCTGAGTTTAAGTTTAAGTATAACCTCTCGATTTCTCTCAGCATCCAGAAGTTAGGCACCACGCACCTTTTGTAAATAAAACAGGCGTTTATTATATATTATTAACCAACTTACTACAATATGTATAGAAATGCCCATGCTTTATAAATGGAAAATTTCGACAACTGGTCATTATGAACGGAGAAATTGCTACAGCCAGTTATTACGAAATCTCAGTCATGCATTACGAAATCACACCCGTGCATTACGAAATCACAGCCATGCATTATGAACAGATGAAACGAGACATCGATTAAATCAAGGCAAAAAGAATAATTGATTTATGGTTTTTTCCAGTTGTCAAAAATGAAACTCAAAGAACAAGTGCACACACATAAAAACCAATTCCATCTAAAAAATAATGCCATGTTTTATGAACAAACATATATTTAATTATAAAATTTGTCAACAGAAGCACCAAAGTACATATGTTTTTTTTTTCTCTTATTGGCCCTGATACATATATCCTTAATATTAATTATGGACTCTGACTGTTCTTGAATGAAGTTGGTTAATAAAAGTATCAATATATGGACTATTTCATATTGGCCCTGTAACATGCCCGAGGTATTAATAATGGCCAAGGATGGTTGTAATGGCCCGAGGCAACGCCGAGGGCCATTACAACTGTCCGAGGCCATTATTAATACCAAGGGCATGTTACAGGGCCAATATAAAAAGTGCATACATTAATACTATAACAGCGCACCTCTTAAAAATATAACAGGTATTCAAAATTACCAGACTTGTTATAAATCACGTGACTGATAACAAATACCATATGCGGTATCAGAGATAGTCACCAAAGGAGTCCAATATATCGACGAGACACTAATCAATGCGAATTGCACAATCTTTTGTCTTCATTACTGATCTCAGCGGGTAATTCCTGTCTCTGAGATTTCATTGGATTCATTAATTGACTGATTAAACCAAATATCTTTGAAATATATTAAAATTTTATTTAAATTATATTAGTCGGCCATGGCAAAATAAAAAAAAAATAAATGTATGTACAACAAACAAATAACACAACAAACTAACAAATATATATCGAAAGATTAAACTCTTGATCATATTTTCGTAATGCTAACGATTGTTTGTAAAGTTCAAATTTAGGTTTAAGAATTTCTTGTATTTGTAAATTAGGACAAATTGTGTCTAAATTCTATATTGTTTTTCGAAGTTTTTGAACAAATCATCTCTCCATTGTATATTATTTTACAATGAAGGAGGACATTAGGTTTATCTTTAACTTCGATTAATTCAGTGCCCCTACTGTATCCGTGTTCCCACGAAACATTTTGTTTAAATTTTATTTCTATATTTTAGATGTAAATGACACACAATACTTAACGAATAATTGTCTAATTTTAAAACTAGTCTCTCTTTATAGACAGTCTTCTAGTTTTATTTCAGTTTTCACGTGGCTCAACAAAAACAGTTTAGAGTTATTTACCAAGCTGTTTAATTTAAATTCTTGTTATTAATATCATGATGATATGAAGGTTTCTTAGGATTATTATTCAGTACAATCTAAACCAAATTCTTCAAAATGTTTTTGGAAAGTGCAATGTATTATACATTCCATCATCTAAAATGGACAGAGTACTTCCTTTTACAACATAAACCACATTATCTGTTTGTTAAAAGTTGTAAGTGACCATTCACTTCTTTTTATCTTAGAATATCACAATATCTTTTTGGTAAATCTGCGGGTTCGTAGATATTTTTGCTGATGAAGTCAGTATCAAAACGAATGATCAGCAATACACGATCTATGAAAAAAATTATTTGATGTTTTAAGCGAAGTTACTAAATATATAACTTGGTCACAGATAATAACAACACCTTCGCAAAGTTAGAATCACGGAACGTGTTTAGTTTTCTGTCTTTTGAAAAAAGTGAAAGAATAGAAACATAATCTGTTATCAGTTGAATTTAAGTCACATATTAATATAACACAATGTAACACGTAGACGGATAAGGGAAAGACCTACTACTTTTAATCACCCTTTATCGACAGAATAGACATGCATGGAAGGGGGAGGGTTCGAAAGGAAGTCTTGTGCAAATAAGTAGCATTAAATTTCAAGGCACTGCATGAATACTTGAACATATGTACATGAAATTGTTTGAAAGAAAAAAACTGACAGGGATGTTCATTAGTCGGTATAATTATTTGATAATAGGTTTTACTTTTATTTACCTCTATTTTCATCAAATTGTTTTGGAAATCAATAAGCAAAATGAGACCGGAAACAGAGCACTCGCCACCAGATCGTCCGTGTCCTCGGTGGGGCGAACAAGATGACATAGAACACGGAAGGAATTACAGAACTACTGATGGATACTCTAAATGGTAAGTACAGTCATTAATATGGAGCGGAAAGTAACTGATCTGGATGGATTCCAGTAGTTGTAAGTACAGTAATAAAAGAAGAAATTACTATGAATCTGATTAACACTACATTAACATGAAATCTCTGATTAACATTTCATTAACATGAAGTCTCTGATTACCACTACATTAACATGAAATCTCTGATCAACACTACATTAACATGCAATCTCTGATTAACACTACATTAACATGCAATCTCTGATTAACACTACATTAACACGCAATCTCTGATTAACAAAACATTAACATGAAATCTCAGATTAACGCTACATTAACATGCAATCTCTGATTAACACTACATTAATATGAAATCTCTGATTTACACTACATTAACATTAATCTAAGGACTAACAATCTAAGAAGATGAAAAAGTATTGCAAGTTTGTATTGCATCAATAGGTAGCGGAAAACTATCAATGTTAATATCTTGTAGAGTATTAGTAATCAATTTAGAATCTGGATTATTCTATTCTTGTTGACTAAGAAAGTCAGAGACTCATCATTTCAAAAATCTGAATCATGGTAATTTTTACCACAGTGTTGATCTGGAAAATATCCGTATGAATCAAGAAGTTATATTTTGTTACTGAAAAATGTTATGAACTGAAAGATGGCTGCCCATCAGTCACTGTTAGCGATTTATTAGAGCATACACCAATCAGTAATTATTTCAATTTTTAGTTTTTTCCCCCATATGGGGCTGGTGAGATATTGACATAACTTGGCGTCCGTCGTCGTAAACTTTTTCAAAGATTTTCTCCGCTGAAACTACTGAACCAATTTCAACCAAACTTGGGATGAATGATCCTTATGGTATCTAGTATAAACTTTTGGTTTCTTTTTCAGTCAGTAAACAAATATTATATCTTGCTTTAATAGATAGAGTGAATCTGACGGGGCAAAATGCTCAAAATGTCAAAATCCGCCTATTTTGCCTTCTTAACCACAATTATCAGATGGCTTAAAAGCAGATTATGTTGCTACAATTAAATGGCGATTTTTGACAAATTATTCTGTTTTGCCGCCCTGAAAACTATAATAGATATGTAGAATCTGTTAATGAAAAAACTGATCAGCTATACAAGACATACAAACAAATTAATAATCAGTTAAATCAAATTAATAATTTGTTATATTAAAATTGGTAATCTGTTATATCAAATAAATAATTTGTTATATCAAATAAATAATTTGTTATATCAAATTGATAATCTGTTATATCAAATTAATAAATATAGATTCTACCACTGCATCGAGTGTGATACGATATTTATCCACTCGAGACAGTTAAATTTTCAAATTTAAAACGCGAGGCTCGCCGAGCGTTTTAAATATTTAAAATTTAACTGTCGAGAGTGGATAAATATCGTATTACACGAGATTTGGTGGTGGAATCTGTTTCTCTAATGATTTTCAAACAATACGCAGGTAAATTTATTCCTTCTTTTCGAATGATCTGCAAAAAGATGTGCTCTTTCTATGTGACGTCATCAGGCATGGTCGCCTTTTTTCATGCCGTCACAATAGGAAATTCAGAGGAAAGGAAGAAAATTCGACGTCATAATCGGATTTTAACCAATGAAGAACTGAGATCAAACGAACCACACGTTGATTAAAATTTGTTTATACAATGGGTGCAGAAAGGGATAAATTGACGAAGAGTTAGAGAAATATAGATTCTACCACTGCATCGAGTGTGATACGATATTTATCCACTCGAGACAATTAAATTTTCAAATTTAAAACGCGAGGCTCGCCGAGCGTTTTAAATATTTAAAATTTAACTGTCGAGAGTGGATAAATATCGTATTACACGAGATTTTGTGGTGGAATCTGTTTCTCTAATGATTTTCAAACAATACGCAGGCAAATTTATTCCTTCTTTTCGAATGATCTGCAAAAAGATGTGTTCTTTCTATGTGACGTCATCAGGCAGGGTCGCCTTTTTTCATGCCGTCACAATATGAAATTCAGAGGAAAGGAAGAAAATTCGACGTCATAATCGGATTTTAACCAATGAAGAACTGAGATCAAACGAACCACACGTTGATTAAATTTTTTTTATACAATGGGTGCAGAAAGGGATAAATTGACGAAGAATTAGAGAATCTGTTATATCAAATTGAAAATCTGTTATATCAAATTGATAATCTGTTATATCAAATTAAGGATGTTTGCTCCTCTTGTTTTTGAATTTTCGCCATATTTTCTGAATCCTCTGGTTTTATCCATGTATTGCCATTAAACAAATTTTGCCCACTAACCCCTACTTTTCTTTTCATAATTTTATTACATATAGTTTAAAGAGCCATTTTTGAAAATTTTATATCATCCTTGTTATTTTTTCATAGTTTTTGAAAGAAAAAAGGTGCTAATGTTAAATGTATGAAAAATCTAGAGAGAATCATTTCCCGCCAAATTTTCAATTGCTTATATCACAAAAACAAGGACACGGACCTATAATTTTTTTCTGCTTTTTAAGTTCCATTATTAATATACTATTAATTTATAACAGTCTTTAAAAAAGTTTGTTATTTTGAAACAGAGGAGCGAACATCCTTAATTAATTGTTATATCAAATTGGAAAAAGTAAATTAATATGGCCTTAAAAGGCTTCCGTACAAACAGGCCAATATGACCGAAACCATTGGACGATTCCTGAAGAAGTTATGCATGGTCCTAAAATGACAATTTTTGACTAATTTTTATGTTTTGCCAATTATCTCTAGAACTATAACAGATAGATAAAAATTGTAAGCACCAAAAAAAACACATCAGCAATATAGGGTCTACAAGAAAGGCTTAAGACAAAAATCCATTGGACGAATCCTTATATGATTTATTGCTCTTAAAACAATTGCTTAATTGTATTACTTAGTTTTATAATTTTGCAAACCATCTTGAAAACTATTGTAGAAATGTAGAAACTTTAAATATCAAAAATGATCAGCTATACAAGATCTACAAAAATGATGACCAGCTATACAAGAATTACAAAAATGATCAGCTATACAAGAGTTACAAAAATGATCAGCTATACAAGATCTACAAAAATGATCAGCTATACAAGAGTTACAAAAATGATCAGCTATACAAGATCTACAAAAATGATCAGCTATACAAGAGTTACAAAAATGATCAGCTATACAACAGTTACAAAAATGATCAGCTATACAAGAGTTACAAAAATGTCATACGATGACTCATTAACGAGGCATTGCCATTTGACGATTTTTGACGAATCAAGTTTTGTATTTTTGAATTATCTCGAAAACCATAATAGATAGGTACAAACTGTGCACTGCAATGATCAGCAATGCATGATCTACGAAATAATATAACTGATTGTAACAAAGTAAACATTAATATCAAAATTGCGCATCTTTACAAGGTGAGCAATATAGGCTCTTAGGAACCTCTTGTTCAGTAATCTATTCTCTTTTTACAAACACTTAAACTTTGTGTAAAGTATGTCATCTAGAATTTAAGCTAATAATAGAATAAAATGGTTCGTTATATCTCTGACTAGATTTACATGTATTTTAGACAAGGGAATTATATATATTTACACATCTACATTTTGCCGTATTGCTGCTTTTTTTTCAGTCGTTCAAACTTTGATGCTTGCCATGAACTTCCGATAGAACATGAAGTGAAGTACTTAGAAGGATTTGCGTACGTATATTCTATGTCTACTACATCTACTACTAATACTACTAGAAGCGTACGTATATTCTGTGTCTACTACATCTACTACTAATACTACTAGAAGCGTACGTATATTCTATGTCTACTACATCTACTACTAATACTACTAGAAACATATACAAAAAACAAAATCAGCAAATAATGATAATATTATAATGATAATAATAATAATCGTTTCCTTTTGAGTTCTTGGATTTATGTTTAGCAAAATTCATTCTGTTCTCTTATTACTGGCTAGCAATATGTGTATTTGGCAGTCCTTCACTTTAAAGCTGAGACTTATACAATTTATAAGTGGTCAGAGTCTTAAATGTATATTCCTTCACATTAAGCTTAATCAGATCTATGTGACTGATTTACATGATTTATTTGATGAAGCACTGTACTTAAAAATTACATTATTTCTTTCAGCTATCCAAAACCATTTGAAGTTTATATGAGGTAAGGCTATAGTAATTTTGTTATTTGAGTTTAGCGGATGGAATTTGTGATTGGTGATCTCGTTCTGTTTGTATACAATGCGTTTTTCCAAATATGATTCTTTTGTTCTCTGCTGCCAAGCAGTTGACTTATGGAGTACCCTTGTTGTCTAAGCAGCCATGTGACTGTCTGCGTCAACAACCAGAACTCATTATACATAAATGTCGCTGCAGACTCGACAAAAAGCACAAGTATGTACGGTCTATTTGAATATTATTTATCTATAAACATACACCATAAGCCTAAAACCCATAATTGTCTCGATTTTGACTTATCACGGTTTCCGTGGTGAAAACGTTTAGATCTTATTGGCACCAAACAACTGGAAGTGCATTCACATGGTAAAATGCTGTCCCATAAACTGAAATTAGGTTTTTTTATTATTGTTTTCTAGAAACTCCCTCTGATAGAGGGAGTATTTGAACAATGTTCTCTTCATTTTATATGACCATAGCAACCACAACTTATAACTTAACTGCAGATCTTGTTAAATTGACATTGCAAGACAACACATTTCTATCTTAACTAACAATAATATATCTGAGATAAATGAACAGTAAATCTGACCTATTTTTAGAAGTCGGGTAAAGGATTTACCAGCTCCTACAAGACGTGTAGACCGTGGTGAACATTTGGAGATGTTTCCCAAGCATGATCCGAGCAGACAGGATGGACAAGGTATTGTACAGAGTCTCCAATCTCAGGGAATTTTCCTTTGTCTATCACTTTCTTTTGCTAATCCATGATCGCTAAAATGAAATTAACAAATAAAAAATTATTTTGGTGTTCAAAATTTATAGTAGGCCCAAGTACATGTTAAAGAGAGACGGAAGATACCAAAGGGGTCAACATATAAGTCGAAGACAAACTCACAAAGTCATTACAAAAAAGAAAACGACGAAAAGACAAACAGCAGTCTACAAAACACAACATACAAAACTAAAGATTGAGCAACACGAACCCCACCCAAATTGACCGGGGGTGATTTCAAGTACTTATACACTTATAGTTTTTTTTAATATTGTATATTTATTCTTTATTTTATTAAACAGTGGAGTTTTCTATTTATTTTCAGTAAGAGCTTTCAAGATGTTTTTGTAGATCAGACTATTAGTTTGTTTTTGTCATTTGCACACATATTTCCATATTATTCTGACCTCTAACATAACAAATTATAGGAATACCATGAATACATGCCTTTTGGGGCCCTTTATAGCTTGCTGTTCGGTGTGAGCCAATGCTCCGTGTTGAAGGCCGTACTTTGACCTATAATGGTTTACTTTTATAAATTATAACTTGGACGGAGAGTTGTCTCATTGGCACTCATACCACATCTTCCTATATCTACTTGCATTAGGCTACCTACCTACCTCTCATAGAGTTGTTATAATGGTTCTTTAACGTGCCTATAACGTGGTACTAACCTTCAATTGGCATTGGTTTTTAATGTTCCCATTGTGACTGGATGGGACTACGAATTTACACAATCCTTACAGCCAAACGAACGCCTCATTTTAGCCATGCTTTTAGTGCCAGAACGAGATAAGTCCAGGGATTACATTTCTATACTTCAGTCAACCCTTTGGGGTCTAACCTATTCAGACTACACACTTTAAGTTAAATATAATGTTCTTAAATTCGTATTGATTTTCATATAAAAAGGTTTATGTGATAAAACAGTTTGTATAAAATAAGAAGATGTGGTATGATTGCCAATCAGACAACTATACACCAAATTCCAAATGACGCGAATATAAGTAACTATAGGCCGGCGTACAGCCTTCAATAATGACAAAACCTATATACCGTAAAGTTAGCTATAATAGGCCCCGATATGGCCAAATGTGAAACAATTCAAACGAGAAAACGAACGACCTGATGTATTACAAAACAATTAACTAAAAACAAATACGATAGACATCAACCAACGCTAAAAACTGAACTGATTTCAGACAGGCAAATATAGAATGTGGTGGGGTTAAACATGTTTTTGAGCACTAACCTCCCCCTAACATGGTAGAGTGGTGTAACAGCACAACATAAGAACAAACTGTAAAAATCAGTTGAAAATGGTTTGACTAATCAGATTGGCACGAAACTCAAAAACAACTAACATAAACACAAAAGTCGCATAGTACTAACATAAGAGTACTCGCAGTTAGTCGATTACTGAAAGCTAGTTCAAAGTTAATCAACAAATCATGTTTCCCAGACTAAAGTATCAATCAGTAAACATCCGACGGATTAAGTGAATAGACGTCACAAACAGTCATAGAACGTCAGGACCTTGTACAATGCCTCAATATAGGTACATAATATCGACAGAATGTAGGAACAAACGTGTTCATAACTGTATAGCAATTCATGTACCCTATTTGTTATGGTAGCCGGAGTAGACCATATTTTTAAGTCTGACTGAGATGTTACAACTAAGAAGGGAAATATAATGTGTTGTACTGATAGCTCTCTAAATTTGTTTTAATTTGACAGGTCAGTACAGGTTGTCAGAAGCAACAAGAAATTCGCTTGAAGCAACCAGATGTAAACTGTATGAAAAATCTCGATACCAAATTCTCCTTCCCGGCAAATATCAAGCCAATAAAGAAAACACAGAAATACAGTTATTCAACATTAACCGGATACAGTGTCCTAAAACACCCAAACACGAGGAGTGTATCCAAACGCGACATACATCGAACGCTGCTTTATTTTCACGATTTCCGCAAAAAGACGACAGTTTAGAAATTAATGATAATGATGTCCAACATTCATGTTTTCGAGTCGATGACTTCAATCAGAACTTCCCATTTTTATTGTCTTCTATATACAACTATAGACTACCATCTTCTCTACATCAACCAGACGACCATTTGCAAGAAGATTATTTGTCATTACTAAAATTGCAAGAGATGGCAGATAAAAAGGAAGTTCTACATCCACAAAGAATTTTTCATAGACCAACAGTTCCAGATAAAATTGGCGTATTTATGGACTCGGTGAAAACAGAAATGAATATATGTGAATACGATAAAACACACCAAGAGACGGTCAGCGAGTCGGTTGTTCGGGAGATACCAGAACCTTGTGTTGGGGAATGGGAAAACTCGTCAGTTTTACACAAACTGAAGCTATCGGACAAGGCTGGAACTCAACAAAGGTATGTCAATCAAATCATCAGGTCACGCTACAAAAGTCCGATGTATAATTGAAAAGTCATTATTCCTATCTATATTTATATATTGGCCACTTTGAGGGTAAGGAGGATCTCTTCAGGTGATCATCATTTAAACTATTTGCCTTTGACTGTCATATACCCCTGGCGTAATACGGGCGTTTCTGCAATTGGAAGTCAACCAGGTTTTATAGACCTGAATTTTTATGACAGTGATACATAGTTCAAATCTGCCTCTAGGAAAATTTGAAGCACATAAAAAGTATCAATATTGACAGAGCACTTTTTGGTAATTGATACCATTGAATATAAGATACCTTATATCTGTATGTTTAAGCTTAATACTGCAGTGGTTAACTAAATAAGTAATAACATTACACGGTACTAATATTACTGCAAAAGATGCACATTTCGAAATAAAGTCACTTTAGTGATGCCCTTAAGAGAGTAAGAGCTATTCTTTTCAGATTTTTTTGGTGGAAATATTCAAAAAGTAGAAAATTAAAAGTAAACTGCTTTGAAATTATAATTCTGACGACAACACACGAACGACACAGGTGTAAAGCAAAATGTTGTCCTATGAAATATTGTCCAGCAAGACAATATTTCATGAGTATGTATCATGATAGGAAAAAAATCTCCACAGAAGGACAAAATCTAATATAAAATAATGTTCATGTTGGACAATATTTCATAGATAAATAGTAATGAAATTTTGTCTCATTAAAGTTCATTAATGGAGTATCATGAAACTTTGTCTTATGAAAGGGAGATTATGATAATTAATATTTTGGGCAATGATATCATCAAAGTGTTTTATTTTATTGATAATAACAAACATATATTATAAGTGATTGTCAGTACTTTACTTATACAATGTATTTAAACAGTGTAATATGGTACTATTAACATATTTGACTTTAAGTCATGCTTGTGTACTATAGACATGCATGATAGATGAGAGTTATTCACGGTTATACACGTATTTTTTAAGAACAGTATTTCAAAGATTCCAGAAACAATTTCATTGAGTAAGATTTCCCAGGGAAGACATAATTTTATTAGGAAATATTTTTATGGACAGTATTTCACTGTGAATTATTGTCAGGGACATTATTTCACAGTGATATATAATCCGAAGAACCTGACAAAATTTCGATGCATAATGAGATATTGTCCTGGACAGTATTTCATTATAACATATTGATTTGATTTTGATTTTTGGTGTTTAACGCCACTTTTAAGCACCGCTTTTGGGCTATTTCGTGGCGGCCAGTTTTTATTGGTGGAGGAAGCCGGAGTGCCCGGAGAAAACCACCGACCTTCGATAGTAAAACTGACAATCCTAGTCAATTAAGTTGGAGTCGAGTGCATCCGCGCGAGCGGTTATAACATATTGTGTACGGACAATATTTCATTGTGGACATTATTTTATGTTACACACGGACAAACAAGAAATGGTGTTTATGACACGACTAAAATGTCTTACATGACTATTATTCGGTAAACAGTTAGTTGATGAGTGATGAATCTGAAACCACGTCCCACGGTATAGCATGCTGACATGAAGCCACGTCTAATGGTACAGCATGCTGACATGAAGCCACGTCTAATGGTACAGCATGCTGACATGAAGCCACGTCTTATGGTACAGCATGCTGACATAAAGCCACGTCTAATGGTACAGAATGCTGACATGAAGCCACGTCCCAAGGTATAACATGCTGACATGAAGCCATGTCTAATGGTACAGCATGCTGACATGAAGCCACGTCTAATGGTACAGCATGCTGACATGAAGCCACGTCCCAAGGTATCGCATGTTGACATGAAGCCATGTCTAATGGTACAGCATGCTGACATGAAGAAACCACATAACAAATTTCAGGAAACTCTGATTTGTATTTCCCTCGATATGCGATGAAAATTTCATACAAGGTCATGTTTAGAATATAAAGAGAAATTATTAGTTTAACAGAATGTTGATGACTGATGAATCTGGAAACAGTATAACTCCACTCCTTCTGAGCTGTACAATTTTATTGCATATGCTTTCAATAGCTTGTCTGCTTTGTGTTGATCTAGATCTTCCCGCTATACATCACGGTTTGTAACATAGTCTTATTTGTATAGTAACCTAATAATATGCATGAAAAAACTCAGGGAAATCAAACAAATATTAATAAGAAAGAAAATTAAAATCATCACATATCGGTATATTTTATATTTTTCAGATATCACAGCCTCCACGAGGAACCACTACCAGATCTTAGAGACAACGGAAAATATTCAAAACGAGTCAACTTTTATGGATTCAATTCATCAGCATTTAGAGGTTAATCTATGCATTCATTTAGATTACAAGCGCAGGATATTTGTGAAAACAGACAGTTACAATTATAATTGTACTGGTTTGAGCTTACCTTCTATATACTATATCAAGAAAAGACTCAAACATCGACAATAACTAGTCAAAATAACTTGTCTGTAATTTTTGATTCATCAATAAATAAATATATTTATATTATATCAATTTGAAATATTATGAATTTATGGCTCGATCACTTTCGAGGATTATGCCAGGCAATGGGCTAAACGCGAGAAAGAAGACGTAGATACTCTTTCTGAATGGATTAAGGCTGTGAGGTCGTTGATACAAATCCGAATTAAGAAACTAAATGGGCATATCAATACCCACGCAACATCAATTTTTAAAGACCCAAATGTTGCAAAACACTTGACCTACCTCCATGACAAATATGTTGTTGTCCCCGCAGATAAAGCCCCAAACAACATCGTTTTTGTGTGTAAATATCATTACATAAACTGCTTGATAAATGAATTAGGTATTGACAATTCACTTGGAAACTCAACATATACCCTCACGACACTTACCAAAGAGGAAATCCTGGATAATCATAGGTCTGTTCTATGTTCCTTTGGAATTTCAACCAAAGATGAAGAACTGGATCTTCCATCACTGTATTGGATACCTAAACTACATAAGTGTCCTTACAAACAACGGTATATTGCTGGGTCTTCCAAGTGCTCCACGAAACCTCTTTCTAAATTATTAACATCTATTTTATCAGCAATCAAAGCCGGGCTCCAAAGTTATTGTGAAACTGCCTATTCTAGAGGTGGCGTGAATCAGATGTGGATACTAAAAAATTCCAAAGATCTTTTAGAGTACATACAATCTAAGACTCTCTCATCTTGCAATAGTATTAAAACATTTGACTTTTCCACACTTTACACAAGTATTCCCCATTCCAAACTAAAAGACAAATTGAAAGAGTTGGTATTACTTTGTTTCATTAAAAAGAATGGCGAACGTAGATACAAGTATCTTGTCTTGGGGAGGGATAAATCCTACTTTGTAAAGAATCACTCTGATTCAAACAAAAAATTCTCTGAAACTGACATTATCAAGAAGATTGATTTCTTGATTGACAACATATTTGTTACGTTTGGAGGACGTGTTTTTCAACAGACCGTCGGAATTCCAATGGGAACCAATTGTGCCCCTCTTCTTGCCGACTTGTTTCTTTATTATTATGAGGCAACGAATCTATCCCATCGAACTAGAGATAAAGGATACTACAGATACAGTTAAGTCTGCCTCATATCTTGACTTACATCTAGAAATTGACAATGAGGGTCGGTTGAAAACAAAACTTTACGACAAAAGAGATGATTTCAGCTTCCCAATTGTGAACTTTCCATTTCTATGTAGCAACATCCCAGCAGCGCCTGCATACGGAGTATATATCTCCCAATTGATACGATATTCCCGGGCTTGTGTTTCCTATCATGATTTCCTTGATAGAGGATTGCTGCTCACAAGGAAGCTATTAAACCAAGAGTTCCAAATGGTGAAGTTGAAATCATCCCTTCGTAAATTTTACGGACGCCATCACGAGTTGGTTGACCGTTATGGAATAACCGTTTCACAGATGATATCGGATATGTTCCTTATGTCGTAACTACAATACCCTTCCACGAATGTGACTTACCGAATTAGACTATTTACCGGATTTGTAATAACATAAGCAACACGACGGGTGCCACATGTGGAGCAGGATCTGCTTACCCTTCCGGAGCACCTGAGATCACCCCCAGTTTTTGGTGGGGTTCGTGTTGCTTAGTCTTTAGTTTTTCCATAGTTAACTGATAAGGGGACTTAGATACAGTCTAATATTAACCCAGCTACATTTTCTCATTTCTGTCACACGCCAGGAACCTTGTTGGTAGTTGTCGTAAGTAGTATCGTAATGTTTGAAATTTATTTACAACTGAGATAGAATCGAGATAATTTAGAGAGGCGACACATATTTTATGGATACCTATGTATTGTTGAGGACTATACGTCTCCCTCTAGGTGTCTTTTTGGTTATTTCTGTCGGTGGGTTGCTGTCTCATATACTTATACCCCACATCTCCATTCATTCACACATAACAATCTTCACTGCGCACTGTTGGCAGAAGAAAAAACAAGAATTATAATATAAATCGGATAGCAGCACTACCAGTTATGTTTTGTATAATATATAAATTGATTTGACTGTTGTCTGCTTAAAATCCAGTGGCAAATATTTCATGCATATTAAAGCCAATTTTGTCAGAATATCAAATCGTAAAGTTTTTTATAGACGTGTCTTCTTCGGCTCTTGGTTTTTTGTACTCTCTGTGTGCCCTATACAGGACAAATGACACAAAACAAAGTCCCATAATGCCATTTAATAAAAAAATAAACATTTCAGCACGATTTTACCTGTTATTTTAAAGACCATGAACGTTAGAACAGACACAACCCTTTTTTTTCAAACTAAAAACGTGATAAAACTATGTAGTCGTGGAAAAAAACAGTTTCGATTGACGAAAGAGTCATCTTCAAAATATGTTTTTCGTTCTTTGTTAACTGTATATGTTGTCATACACAAGTTGTGCTCTTTGAGTCTTTATAATCAATTTCAATTTATTGATATTTTCTTGCTCAATTTATCAACATGTTTCACTCGGAACGATCTAGAGCCTGACTATGACGAAAAAAAACTGTATAAATTCACTGCACATCTTGACAAAAGTCAACGATCAGTGATTGTATTACTTTGGTCATCTCAGTCACAGTGAGGCCTTCAACACGCAAATTCAATATGGTCTCAGGCAGTCACAAGTTTAAGAGAACCGAATAATTAGCTAGATATGAAACAGACACCCGTTTTTTGTCGTTGAAGAGCGTATTTTGATCTCTGGGTGTGTTTTGGTTTATTGATGTCGTAGGTTTGCTGTCTCATTGACATACATGTTTCCCCAAATCTTCTTTATTCAAATTTATACTGGAACATGTATTAAATACTTACATAAATACAAAGATTTGCAATCACTCCACATGTCCTTTACCTTTATATGTATTTTATGAACTGTTTATTTTGAAGGACAAAGTCCATTGTATGTTTATCGTCACAAATCTATTGTATCCTTTAGCCATAAAGGCGATACAAGCTTCATGAGCTTCTCGTTTATTAGCTTTTTCAATTTCATTTTTCTCTATAATTTAGCACCATTGTTGATTTTTGTTTAAAAGAACTATATATGTATATATAATATATATCACAGATTCAGACTTCGATATCGCTCAATCAAACTTTTCTGTGAAAATTCGAAAACCGCCTATAAGTAAACGATTATGAAGTGATATGGCTAGTTATGATCGTGATCTAAACAGTTGACGTAGCCATGGTCATTTACACGATAGACAAATCAGGAAGTAGAAAAAAGTTTAAGTGTATCACAGTGCAGACAAACCTCACAATCCCTTTAACATGTTAAAGAAACCAAACAGCTGTCACTTTCGTAAACAAGATAACAGACATTCTCAAATATTCGTCATCTGAATAACTACATACAACTAAATGGTAAGAACACATAATTTCCTCAAAATACTTTTGACAATGGCTGTTTTCTAACTCTTTTTATTAAATATAGCAGTGCATGTTTAAGATGAATAATAGTCGCAGCATAAAAAATCAATAAAAGTGAAAATTAATATACAATGAAAGATAAATACGCCCTCAAATGCATCTTATTTAAAGAAAGAAAAAATGTGGTTAAACAGGGTTTTTTTTACGTTGCGTTTAAATTATAAGTTATCTTGGTGTAATCAGGAGTGTATAGAAATTAACACCGGTGCTGAAAATTCATACACCCTCAGGCGCAGCCGAAGGGTGTATGCATTTTCAACACCGGTGTAAAATTCCGTACACTTCTGATTGCACCAAGATAACGAATTTTTATACCGGGGAATAAAATTGAAAAGGTCTTATGAAAAACTGCACATTTTTTTCAACACCGATGTTGCTACGCATTGTCAAATATTACCTTTTTTATTTTTTTCTCGAAATTTTTGGGAAATATTGGTAAAATTTCATCCCCGGGTGAACTGGGGTGAGTTGTTATTTACACCTTGGTAATTAACCAATCAGATTGTAAGATTCTTGCTTTATAAGACATAATCCTCTTTACCCCAAAATTACGTATTAGCGAAATTAATCATTACTTCTTCATTGGCATTTCTGATCATTTTTCTATTTTTCTATTCATGTTTATATTGTGATGCGCTGTTCGTTAAGCAATCAAAAATCAAATATTATATACAAATGTCTCTTTCAATTTAAAGCATCGATTACTAACACGGCTGCTGATAATAAGCATTGCTGTCGCCGTTAACAATGTGGAGTGTTCTGTGAGTGATAGTCATTTCATTGGTCTTGGATACAACATTTTGCTCGGAAACCCTGATGGTGGCGATTTGTCCGAAGTTGGAGTTGATCCTGGAATAAAGACAACCAGACATATATTACGTATTTCACCGGGCACTACATCGAAGCTTATAGTCAATGATGGAGGAAGAGCATGTGTTACCCCAAGTAATGCAACTTCAATTTTCTATGGCGCCAAGTCTTATCAAAAGTATCTTTTAGGAGATATAGTGACGTTTGGTATGTAATCACATTGATGAAATTAAAAGAAAAATATGATAATTTAGATAGTTAAATGAAAATAAATAAGTAAGTTCATAAATAACAAAAGAAAGAAAAACCACAATCTTTAAACTAGATGCTGGGTATATAGATCAAATGACATGTAGAACTGCACAATGAGAATTGTTTCACCAAGATAGTTTAGACAATCGGTCTGTTGATCACAATATTTGAAACATTGTTTAACCTACAAGATTAAATGGTTCGTTTTCAAATCATCGACTGTGTTACAATTTTTTTTTTTTTTTTTTTGGCAAAGGGTTAACTTTGCAAAGTACGAGGATATGTCGTTTATTTTGTAAGCTTTGCTCGCAGTACCTCTAGTTTTTTGCAGAAATACCAAAAATATCTGTTTTGTTTTGTTTTTTCTTATTTCAGGAGAAGGAGACAGCAGTATTAAACCATTCGCATTCACGGGTAGTACTGGTAAGTAATTATACTTATCTCTGTCAGTTATTGTCCCTCATTTTGACGATGTCCAGCAATATTTAGGGTTGTTTATACTAATTCAGTTTATTTCTGTCATAATTGCTTCGGTATTGATGTCTTATCTACTCTTCAATTGCCACAACTGCTACCGTTTACGTTTGACCTTTTAATCTTTCTAGAATTTAATTTATTACATTAATGTTCAATCATAATTTGTTCTTTCTCTTCTTTTATTCTTAGCATTGATGTTTGAACACTACAGTATTTAACTTCTAACAGCAATGTTGACCAGTCCGGTTAATCACTGCAATCATTCATATTTGGTCTATAATATCTTACTAATAATAGAGATTTACAATTTATAACTTACAATAACTGTCTGACTCCGACCCGAGTCAGACTACGAGTCATAGTGAGACAGTTTAAATGACGGGGGCGATCTCAAAACAATAAAAATATTGCAAACATTGTGCTTTAATCATTTTATACTAATTGAAAAGTTGTTTTCGGCGATTTACAAAACTCCCACAAACTTCAACAATGGCTTTTAGTTTGTGACGAGGATGTCTCCAAAGAGTCCCCATGACCTTATAGCATTTCAACTCGCCAATAACATGTTCAACGGAAACTCGGTATTCTGTTATAAGTCTGTTTTGTCTTTCTACAGTTTCTTGTTATCTGCTGTCTGGTGGTGTAAGGCGTTACAACAGGATAGCGGTTTGAATATATTTTATCACCAAGTATATATTTATTCAATGGAAAAGGAAGGTTTTCGTCTTTCCCTATTTGACGCATTAATCTAAACTGATGGGCATCGTTCTGATGTCCCAGAAAACCTGTCTCCAATAAAACTATGTTACATTGATTGTTGTTAACAAACTGTGTGTGAATACAGTGAAAGTTTCTGTGGCCAGAAAATTAGTGTTCTTGTGGGTCTGTCTGAGGACGATATATTTCTGTTGATGTTCCGTCGATTGCACCTAGTGCGGATGGTAATTTATGCCAGGCACCCTCCAGACTTCCCCACTCTTCTAATGTTGGCCAGCGAATCAAAGGGGTGTACTTTTCTTTAAAAATTGCCAGAGAAACCGTTATTTCGTTTAACACCGTTGATACGCTGACATCAAATAAAGTAGAGAGAAAATGGTACGACGGATAAGAGCGGAGACAAAGAACAAAAAACAGGACTCTGTTCAGTGGTGAAAGTTTATGGGGTCGGCCGCACCTTTGGTGGAACTGCGCTCCTACATCCCTCAAAATATCTAACATAGTTTCATGTGTCTCTCTTGCAAATACGTTTCTTCCTGCCCAACAATTCGAACTGTTTCCCATAACTCTTTGATGCAAAGTGCAAAGAAGTTTGGGTGGGGGGAGGGTGGGGGGGGGGGGGGTCTGGAGGAGGTAGAATTACAAGTAGAATCACGATCAATTGTTTGATGAATGTTATTTCGTCCGGAGGACACTGCAAATTGACAGTCAACGTGCCAAGGAATATTCTGTCCGGTCAATCTCTGCAATCATTCATATATGATCACTATAGTATCTAACTTCTAACAGTGATATTGACCAGTCTGGTCAATCTCTCTGCAATCATTCATGTTTGATCACTACAGTATCTAACTTCTAACAGTTATGATGAACAGTCCGGTTAATCTCTGTCATTTATCATGTTTGATCACTATAGTATCTAACTTCTAATACTAGTAGTTATGTTGACCACTCCGATCAATCTCTGCAATTATTTATGTTTGATCTATAATTATCTTACTTCTAACAGTAATGTTGCAATTGACCAGTCCGGTCAATCTCTACAATCAATCATGTTTAATCACTATAGTATATAACTTCCGACAGTTATGTTGACCAGTCCGGTCAATCACTGCCATCAATCATGTTTGATCCGTATATATAGTATCTAACTTCTAACCGTAATGTTCATCAGTCCGGTCAATCTCTGCCATCAATCATGTATGATCACTATAGTATCTAACTTCTAACTGTAATGTTCATCAGTCCGGTCAATCATTGCCATCAATCATGTATGATCACTATAGTATCTAACTTCTAACTGTAATGTTCATAAGTCCAGTCAATCGCTGCCATCAATCATGTATAATCACTATAGTATCTAACTTCTGACTGTAATGTTCATCAGTCCGGTCAATCACTGCCATCAATCATGTACGATCACTATAGTATCTAACTTCTAACTGTAATGTTCATCAGTCCGGTCAATCACTGCCATCAATTATGTATGATCACTACAGTATCTAACTTCTAACCGTAATGTTCATCAGTCCGGTCAATCACTGCCATCAATCATGTATGATCACTATAGTATCTAACTTCTAACCGTAATGTTCATCAGTCCGGTCAATCATTGCCATCGATCATGTATGATCACTATAGTATCTAACTTCTAACTGTAATGTTCATCAGTCCGGTCAATCACTGCCATCAATCATGTATGATCACTATAGTATCTAACTTCTAACTGTAATGTTCATCAGTCCGGTCAATCACTGCCATCAATTATGTATGATCACTACAGTATCTAACTTCTAACCGTAATGTTCATCAGTCCGGTCAATCACTGCCATCAATCATGTATGATCACTATAGTATCTAACTTCTAACTGTAATGTTCATCAGTCCGGTCAATCATTGCCATCGATCATGTATGATCACTATAGTATCTAACTTCTAACTGTAATGTTCATCAGTCCGGTCAATCACTGCCATCAATCATGTATGATCACTATAGTATCTAACTTCTAACCGTAATGTTCATTAGTCCGGTCAATCTCTTCTACCAATCATGTATGATCAATATACTAGTAGTACATTTATCTAACTTCTAACAGTAATGTTGACCAGTCCTTTTAATCTCTGCAACCATTCACATTTGATCACTATAGTATCTAACTTCTAACAGTTATGTTGACCAGTCCGGTCAATCTCTGCAATTAATCATGTTTGATCCCTATAATATATTATTTTAACAGTTACGTTGACCATTACGGTCAATCTCTGTCATCAATCATTGTTGATCACAATAGTATCTAACTTCTAACAGTTATGTTGACCCGTCCGCTTAATCTCTGTCATTTATCATGTTTGATCACTAAAGCATCTAACTTCTAACAGTTATGTTGACCAGTCCGGTCAATCTCTGCAATTAATCATGTTTGATCCCTATAATATATTATTTTAACAGTTACGTTGACCATTACGGTCAATCTCTGTCATCAATCATTGTTGATCACAATAGTATCTAACTTCTAACAGTTATGTTGACCCGTCCGCTTAATCTCTGTCATTTATCATGTTTGATCACTAAAGCATCTAACTTCTAATACTAGTATTTATGTTGACCAGTCCGGTCAATCTCTGCAATTATCTATGTTTGATCTATAATTATCTTACTTCTAACAGTAATATTGCAATTGACCAGTCGGGTCAATCTCTGCAATCAATCATGTTTGTTCACTATAGTATATAACTTGGAAAACGTTATGTTGTCCAGTCCGGTCAATCACTGCCATCCGATGTGTTTGATCACTATTATATAAGTATCTAACTTCTAACAGTTATGTTGACCATTACGGTCAATCTCTGTCATTAATCATGGTTGATCACTATAGTATCTAACTTCTTATGGTTATGTTGTCCAATCCGGTCAATCTCTGCATTCAATCGTGTTTGGTCATTATAATATCCAACTTTGAAAACGTTATGTTGACCAGTCCGGTCAGTCACTGCCATCCGTCGTGTATGATCACTATAGTATCTAACTTCTAACTGTAATGTTCATCAGTCCGGTCAATCACTGCCATCAATCCTGTTTGATCACTATAGTATCTAACTTCTAACTGTAATGTTCATCAGTCCGGTCAAACACTGCCATCAATCATGTATGATCACTATAGTATCTAACTTCTAACCGTAATGTTCATCACTCCGGTCAATCACTGCCATCAATCATGTATGATCACTATAGTATCTAACTTCTAACCGTAATGTTCATCACTCCGGTCAATCACTACCATCAATCACGTATGATCACTATAGTATCTAACTTCTAACCGTAATGTTCATTAGGCCGGTCAATCTCTGCCACCAATCATGTATGACCATATACTAGAAGTACATTTATCTAACTTCTAACAGTAATGTTGACCAGTCCTTATAATCACTGCATGCAACCATTCACATTTGAGCACTATAGTATCTAACTTCTAACAGTTATTTTGACCAGTCCGGTCAATCTCTGCAATTAATCATGTTTTAGGACTTTAGTATCTAGATTCTAACAGTTATGTTAACCCGTCCGGCCAATCTCTGCCATCAATCATGTTTGATCCCTATAATATATCATTCTTACAGTTGTGTTGACCATTACGGTCAATCTCTTTCATCAATCATTGTTGATCACAATAGTATCTAACTTCTCATGGTTATGTTGTCCAGTCCGGTCAATCTCTGCAATCAATCATGTTTGATCAATAAAGTATCTAACTTGGAAAACGTTATGTTGACCAGTCCGATCAATCACTGCCATTCGCAGTGTTTGATCACTTTAGTATCTAACTTCTAACAGTTACAGTACGTTGGCCATTCCGGACAATCTCTGTAATTAATCATCTATGTTATATTACCCAGGTTGCAGTCTTGTAATTGATTGCTCCATAGGCTTACATGCAAAACAGCTGATCTTCAAAAAAATTTTATTCAAAAATGCTACATAGAAAATTTTTTTTGTGTACAGATCATGCATTTAGTAATGTTATACTATGATTTCATGCAAAAAAAGGGCACCTTGCCACGAAGAATAAAAAGTTAATCAACCTCGAAGTCAAAACTTCCTTTTTCTACTTTCTGTTTGCTGTTTTCATCCGACCGCACCACTTCTAGTAAACATTAGATCCTTCCACCTTCCTAATTTAATTTCTGAAAAAAGATGCAATATTTTTGTTACATTTAAATAGTACTTTCAATTCATCACAAAGTTTTAATCAAACAGTTTATAGGCAGTGCAGAAAAAAATTCAGAAAAATTGGGACTATTTTATTTAACTCCATGTTTTGACATGCACCGGAAACTGAAATTGTAATACAAGACTGGTACCTACAACCAATTCAACATTGCTCGGAAAATTACGAAAAAATTATTTAAGAAAGAAGAACCATATTCTGACTTGTATGCCAAATTATTTTTGTTTTACCATTAAATTGCAGCTTAAATTACATTTTTTAGAGTTGTACCCTTTTTTGGGATATTTAAGATTTTTTTTTTTTTTGTATATAGGGTCAACTCTAATTTTTGCTTGTAAATTTTTTCTATTGGAGATTTTTGGCCTAATGTGTGATACATTTGTACATAATACATTGAACTTTGCAATTATTAAAGAAAAAACTGTATATTTTAATATTATGTAATTTTTATGTATTTTTAATTACTGTATTGTAAAAAAATTGCTTTTTGTCAAATAAAAGTTAGATTGTTTTCTTAGTGTTTGTTTTAATTCTTGATAATTAGGAGCCACTGTGTAGCAGAATGTGTGTAGATTCTTTTGACTGCTTGATGATTTTATGGTACTTCACACCTAGGTTAGAATTGGGTCTTTACTGTCATGTGGTGGAATTCTATTGAATTGTCATTATCATCAGTAAGGTTCTAAGAGGCTGCCATATCTGGCATTTGAATGCTGTCAGTTGCATTTTTTGGGTGTTTTGACTTTTGACACAGTTGATTGATGATGTTGGAAAAGTATAAATTCAGAAGTATTTTCAAAATAGGCATCAGAGTTCAAAGATGCCATATACAAGTAAGTCCAAAAGTGTTCAGTTTAAGAAAGGTGATGATGATAGGAGACAAATTCCTGTTGTTGAGTGGGATGAAAAGACTGAAATTAGGAAGAAATATGTTAGACCAGATGCTGCCAAGACCAAAGAAGAAAGTTTGAATGACAAAGCCTTGACAATTTTGAAGGAAAATGTAACCAAGGTAGATAACTCAAAAGTTATATCTGTACTGAGACCACAGCCTGGGGAACCCAGTGTATTTGAAAGATATACAGACAACTTAATCAGAGGAGACAAGAACACATATAGGTTTTTACATGCAGATAGAACCTGTAAACTATTCACCAGAGCCTTTCATGAACATTTGGAGCAGTCACCAGGCTGTAAGGGGAACTTTCAATTTGACTATGATGCCGAAGAGCAGAGAACCATGTGTTGGAGAGAAAAAGTGGTTTGTACCATGTGTAAATATGAGTCCTTGATGTACCCCTTGTATGAAGAGATAGGGGAGGAAGGAAAAAAGGGCAGGAAAGCAGGTGCCCCCAACAGAAGGTTGCAAATTGGACTTGCGGATACAGGTATTTCAAATACTGCATGGTGCCAATTGATGCGGACCGTTAGCCATCCAGCTCCATCGAGGACCGACATGCAGAGACAGTCCAATGAATGCGGTGAGATGTTGGTCAATATGAACAGAGAAGATATGAAACAGCAGCGACAAATTGTAAGACAAGCATTAGAGCGCTCAGGGTTCCCAACCGACACACCGATACCTGCTGAGTGTGACACTCGATACAACAATCCGTTGTTTGGATCTCGAACAAGGACTCCCTTTCAACCTGGGACACAAGCAACAACCACTATTGTTGAAAATGTGACAGCTAGGAAGAAGATCATTGCTGTACATGATGCCAATAAGCTCTGCAAAACAGCCAGTTATCTAAGGTCAACTGGAGAGAACGCAATTTGTCCTGGACACCAAGGCCACTGTTCGGCAAACCTAAAACCATGGGACTCTATTGGTAATGAGGAATTGTATGGTGAATTACTGGCAGATCAGTTAGCAGAAGATGAACAGCCTCTAGTTATTGGACAGTTAACTACAGATGGGGACAGCCATGCCTACAGAGGATTCAGCAAGAAACATAGTGAAGTTGTTAACCTGACACCAGAAAACTTGCGCGATCCAAGACACTTGGCGTCAACCCAATTGCGTAGCATTGATAAGGCAGATTTTAGTGAATTTATGTTTCCCGGAAGGACAAAAGCAGACCGTGAGAAGATTCACAGGAGATTTTCCTTGGATTTAACCAACAGGTGCACTGTGGAATATAACTTTGCTATCAAGGAGGCTGCTGGGGAATTGAATAGACTTGTAAATAGACTAAGTTATGTAGCAGATTGTATAATTGACTGTTACACAGGACATTGTGGAGATACATGCCGCGCCTATTCCTATATTTGTAAAGGGACAGAAGGTGATTTCTGGGGAAAAGAATTCTTGCCTGAACATGCCAGATGCTTATACATGACAGAGGATGATGAAAACCTGGTACGCAACTGTATGAACATTAGATTTGGGAGAAAGAACTTAGAGAAAACGCGATTCGGTACAAGTACGCAAAAATGTGAAGCTACAAACAGAGGATATAATAAGTCTAATCCTAAAGATATTACCTTCCAGAGAAATTTTCCTGCTAGAATTCACTCCACTGCACATAGAATTAATCATAGACCTGGAGAATCAGCTGTTTTAAAATGTGAAGCTCTTGGTGTACCACTTTCTCCAAATTCGCGTCCGATTCATCAACTGAAAAGGGAAGACGAAATTTATGAATACCACCAGTTGCGTAAAAAAAATCCTGTTGTTAAACATGAACGAACTGTTTCGAAACTTGAAAGATTTGAACTTTACGATGAAAAATCTGTAGAAAAGGAGACATATCAGAAAGATCTTTTGGATTCAGAAAAAACTTTAAGAAGTAAACGGAGAACTCGTGCTGATCATTCTTATACAAAGTGACATTTCTGTATTTTACTTACATACTGCAACTAAATTATGCATTCTGGGTACATTCCATGTGTCTGACAGGTTTGTGGAACTAAATTTTTACATATTTGCCTGCTATTATTTATATTGGGAGGTTCTAGAGACAAATGTTCAGGATTAATACACAAACTATTGTGACATAGGTGTGAAACATGTAAATCCGCAGCTATCTCTGTTAGGTCATTTTGTAACATAAACATAAATCTGTGAGCCAGATAAAATTTTTTTCTTCCATTTGGCCACTTTACTTTTAGACGACCATATTTTGGACCACGAGTTAAACCCCTTTCTCTTTGATTGACTGCAAATACTGTCGACCAAATTTGGCAACCCTTGGAATTTTGAACATGTTGGTCAATTTTTGAAATTAAGCCTGCTAATTGCACAACTTTCCACTGAGGATCCATTTTAAAAATACCATGAGGTAGTATAGTACCCAGAATATGTAAATCAGTTGCAGCATCCTGGGAAATTTGCATTTTTAACATGAAAAAATTTTCCAAAAATCACTACCCAGGTTGCAGTCTTGTAATTGATTGCTCCATAGGCTTACATGCAAAACAGCTGATCTTCAAAAAAATTTTATTCAAAAATGCTACATAGAAATTTTTTTTTGTGTACAGATCATGCATTTAGTAATGTTATACTATGATTTCATGCAAAAAAAAGGGCACCTTGCCACGAAGAATAAAAAGTTAATCAACCTCGAAGTCAAAACTTCCTTTTTCTACTTTCTGTTTGCTGTTTTCATCCGACCGCACCACTTCTAGTAAACATTAGATCCTTCCACCTTCCTAATTTAATTTCTGAAAAAAGATGCAATATTTTTGTTACATTTAAATAGTACTTTCAATTCATCACAAAGTTTTAATCAAACAGTTTATAGGCAGTGCAGAAAAAAAATCAGAAAAATTGGGACTATTTTATTTAACTCCATGTTTTGACATGCACCGGAAACTGAAATTGTAATACAAGACTGGTACCTTAACTTAATTCTATCAGTAATCATTTATGTTTGATCACTATAGAATCTAACTTCTAACAGGTCTGGTCAACATAACTCTGTTTATACTTGAAATCAGTCCGAATATGCCTGATTTTTTTAAATTCAATGATATTCTGATTCACAATCATTGAAGGAAAGTCAGTTCAGAGTACTTATAGTGCGTACGCTTTTGTTTAATATTTTTTTCATGATTTTAATCCAGTGCGTGCATGGTTGTTTCTAGTGCATAATTCAAGATAATAATATTGTTATCTGCATGACCTTAGTAATAATAGGGTCTAATTGATAGTTTGAATAGAAGACCATGTTTTAGCGTTGGTTCGTAAAAAAAAAATAGCATGAGCACTATCCATTATTTGGCTGTGTTCTTACCGATAATTGACAAACAAATCATACCTTTATAACAAATATTCTAGTTTTTAAGGACGTTGAACATAGAACCTCTGTAAACCATAATGTAATTAGAGACACCATCAGTGTTTGTAATGGAGGCCGGACCAGGTATGTTATGCCACCACTTTACAGCAGTCTCCATGATGTGAGTGATGAGTTTGCAAGTGCTGTGTGCAACCTTCCTGTAAAATATGACAAAGACGCCTACCGACAGTTTCTAGATATCTGGGGAACTGTGAGTTTCAAGTGATATTTATTACGTCATTTTTGTTCGTTTAAAAATTCAAAGTTGGTTAAATTATTACAATGTGTTAAAAAAATGGAGCAGAAAGGAAAAGAAATCTAGAAATTTCAGTTTCAAGTCGTAAAATACGAAATTATATAGATTTGATTAGTCGATTTTCTTTTAAAAATATAGAAAATTCAAAGTGAATTTTATCTTTTAGAAAGTCAAAATTTCGATTTTAAAAGTCATAAAAGTTGAAATTTTAAGATTTGAAAGTGAAAATTTCTAGTTAGAGTCGAAATGTTGACATTTAAATGTCAACGTTTTAGGCTTTGAAAAACATATCAATGCTAATCTTGTGTTTCTAATACGCTTCTGTACTAATCAAATTAAGCAGAGTGTAAATGTTAGTTCATAGTAGCCATGGGAAGCACAATTGGTCATGTTAAAATACTAGGTACATACAATATATCAAACATGCAAATAAGTTTCAAAATATTAATTACAGCACGTCATTGTTGGAGTTGAAACTGGAACAAAAAATGTGACAAGATATGAGCAATCAGATTCTCAGCTTGCAGATTTTCTTTTGTCGGTAGGTAAACGTCAGATTAAAACGAATCATTTTATTTTTCAAGAATTTTTATAACCTACGTAGGTTTACATTGATTGATTGATTGGTGTTGGCTCTACGCTGCATCAGCCCCAAAATGCTTTGTCGGTTTACATAAATATGGGCCAAATGATGAAAGAAGAGGCAGCTCTTTCGAAAATTAAAAAGGTCAATCATCATGTTAAGCGTATTTCAGCCGGATACTCCGGGCAAAATCTATTTCATGGCAAAGCTGGAAAGTTTAGATTGAACCACAATGATCAGAAGTTGCATAGCACCATTATAATTCATCGCAACTTGTTGTAACAAGATAGTGGCAAGTTGCGTAAGGCAAATGCAAATACCATTACGTGTTTTTTTTTTTTAATTTTTAACAAGAAAATTCCAAACCGTCTTTCAATGTTCCGTTTTAACACTAAACATCTTTGCTGGAATCAAAACTCGAACGTCACAAACTAAAGTTAAACAATTAGTAAAATGACGGGTGCCACTAGTAGATCAGGAACAGCTAATCCTTCCGGAGCATCCGAGTTTACCCCTTGTTTTGTTTAATTTAAAATATGGTGTTGTTGCTGTTACTTTAGTTTTAAGTGTTTAAAAGTTGTTCTATTTCATGTTAACATGCCTGCGTTGTTTTCATCGGTCTTGTTTTGTCTATCCTCTGTCTTCGAAAACCGTGTTTTCATTTCAAATTTTCACATTCAGTCGAATCTTAAGGTTTGAATTGATTAACATGACAGTTGGTTTATAAAATTTGTAATGTCTTAGGTGTAGAGAGACATTTACAAATCCGCTGTTGTATGATTTTTCAGAACTGAATAAGACTTATCAATGTATATAAACAGGAGTAACACGTCGAGCAGGACTGACTTCTGAAATTTCCGAAACACCTGAGTTTAACTCGGGGTTCATATTGGTCAGTCTTTAGTTTTCTATGTACTGTTTTTTGTCTGTTTTCCTTCGACGTATTGTTATATTATCTCATTGTATATTCTCCATCTTTTTAATGAAAAGAAAGGAAAATTACTCATATATCTGACTTTAAATAGGCACTTCTGAAGGAGATAAGAGGATTACACCGGTTTTATGGCGCGAAAAATCATCATTTTTTTTAACTTAAAATTGATTCTGTTGGTTATTTTTTTAGATAGATTGTGTAAATTTCAGTGGAATATCAACCTATAGTGCAAAAAGGTTATTTTTTTCCTGATTATAAGTTTATTATAATAAAAAAACAAGGGGCTAAGAATAACCATTGTTAAAAAGGTTTCAGCCTTATTTTCCACAATTGAGACTGTACCCAGTAATATTTTTTCTGAAAAAAAATTCAAAATATCAAAGCAGCAATGCCTAGTTTTATCTTTCTTTTTTTCAGCAAGACATTAAATTTGGTTCCGTTTCTGTAGAAGATTACATGGGATATGGTTCTGTTGTTTACCTAAACATCTCCGATTTCCACCACAATGATTACCATAAAATGCATGGCGGACAAAAAGACGCTTCCTTGTCTATTGGAACAGCTTCTTCTCCACAACCAATAGCTTATAAATTGGCCACCATAGCTACGTTTATACATGAAAATTTTTTCAACAATGCATCCGTGTTCCTCAATAAGGGTATCTGTGATGAAGGAGTTACCTTGTATTTACCAAACAGACAAAACAATACTATCATGGCTCTAGCTGAATATGCTGCTGCTAAAGGGATAATATCTGAACCAAGAGGTTTGAAATAGCTTGCTCTGTACTTTTTCGTCTTTTTAAAAAGTTTACTTGCAAATGATATATACACAATTAAACAATAGTCCATTTTCCCGACTTTGTTTCCAATTATTTTTTTTTTGCAAATGAACCAATACCATTCGGTATACCGTGTCTATATACAAACCATATGGAAAGAGCATGACTTAATGGTTTAAGTGTGAAATTTAATTGCATAATAACCATTTTTGTAATGACATTTCTACCATAAATGCGTATTGTACCAACAAAGAAAAAACTATAGTCAGATCCCGCAGAATACTACATGCTCCTTCCACTTACTCTGCATAGACAGGGATACAGTTTGTCCTGCCTAGGTGTTGTTTCCATTTGCAAATTTGAATTTAGAAACAAAGTCGATACTAAGAAATGATTATTAATATTTGATTTTAGTTTTCCGAAATATAATTTAATTTTATTGTTTTTGACGTCAGAATTGAATGTCATCGACCTTTTAATCTTCTTTTTTTTTGTTTGTTGAATATTGTTAGGTTGCTGAACGTAAATACTTTCGAGAACAGTACTGTCGTGTGTAAAACATAACATTAAATAACTTAAGCAGTTGAGTACTGTACTCAAATTCAAATAGTAGAATACAAAGAACGTCAGATTTTTTTTAATTTGTTTCCAATTGATTTCAAAAAGAGAGGCGAAGGATACTAAAGGGACATTCAAACTCATAAGTCGAAAATAAATTTGATTGTATTTAAGATCCGGAAATGAAACTTCCAATCACTTGGCCTCATGGTACATACGGTTTCTATAAAGCAAGGACTGGTTGTCCTATTACTCCCAGTAGATTTGCAGAGGGATGGCGAAGACAAGATGCGGAGGATGATAAGAATACTAATTATTGGACCTCAGATATACACTTAGCTGGTAAAATCTTTACTCAATTTATTTGTCGAGGTTTTGAGAAAGAACAAACGATTTCACCCTTATTTTACCACTGATCGACATATAGAATAGGGTTTGGTGTTCACAAAAGATATAATCCTGCATCATATAAACATGCCTCTTCAATCTAAAGGAATATTGCCGCTTTTTGTCATTGTTTCTTGCCATCTTTGTTCATACGGGAATTAAATGCCAATTTCAGACTTTGGTATTCTCAATCGACGCTATATATATGCTTAATTGAACATCGTATGGTTACCTTTAGAAATGTATGTTTTGGTTTGTTTGTGTTGATAGGTTATTTTTTCATTCAAATTCACCCCACTTCTCATTGTATATATGATAGTACAAATAGACATAGATATAAAAACAAAACAAAGAACAAACTAACACAGGCAATAAAAAAAATTAAAAAATTCCATTGAGAGACTTACGTTTCATATTATTATATCACGGCTGGTAATCTACACACGCAGAACAATTGGTTCTGCAATGAAAACCGTACACGCCGCCCAAAACGACATTCAATCCCGTTGACAGAAAAAAAAACTAAATTTGAACTTGTAGGTCTGTTAATAGAACCATCTGAAAATTTAAATGTCACTTTTTTCGGCAGTTACTCGTGGGGCGATTGGTTTTGTAGGAGTTTTACTCCATGCACAACAGTAAATGATACATGCGTCTCTTCGTTAACGTATTCACCACAGCATAGCATTCTCCGATTTTCAATAGTTTGATCAATTGAATTAGAAAATTGCGATTTAGAAATGTACATACCTTTCGAAGCGGTGACAATTACTCCACTCAAGCATAACCGGAAAATCCTCTCACGGTTTTCATTGCAGAACCAATTGTTCTGCGTGTGTAGATTACCAGCCGTGATATCGAAGATGTGTTAATTAGTACACACGGAAAACTTGGTGTCATAACTTTTTACAGGTACTATGGAAAAGAACAAGCCAGTCTTTTATTTCTGTATGAAAACGGCCAATGAAAATTCAAATTATGAGAGAAATTGGCCGACTGGAAACTACTGCATCCTCAAAAAAGGCGGTTGTCCTACAGGTATATTGCTTTTAAACTATCCTTAACAAGCCTGGATTCTAAAGTAATTGGGGTCTTTTACTAAATGTGATAGCGGGCGATGAAAACATTTGTATTACAAGTAATGAATTCAAATCGAATATTGAACTCGGATAACATTAACAAATCAAATGAAATTTACGAGAAATTCTCAAACTGCAGATTTGATAACACGATATTGTTATACTGAATATTGATCTAGAACGTTGCTTGTGTTATCACTTGGGGCGTGTTTTATTGGTCTCTTCTGTACATCTCCAGAATGTCTTCGGGTGAAGAGTCCAAAAAAAATGAATGTGGACCTCTTCTGGAGATATTCTGTAGAAGAAGCAATAAAATACAAATTCAATTTGCCGTCGAATATAATAGCAGATTTTTTTTTTTATGTTGGATGACATAAATGAAGTTTACGATGATTTATTAGAAAATTTAGTTACGTCAGTTCATTTGGTAGACATGACTGTAAATCCTGTAATAGTGTGTTTTGTTTTGGCATTGATGTACATTTGTAATAACTTAAGTGTAATAAAAAAGAAAATTGGTTGCAAAAAAATTGCTATGTTCGTGACATTTTTTCTTTATGCTTTAGCTTTACTTACTTAATTTAGCTAAACAAATCTGGTTTAAAGGCTCCGACCATTTGATTTTCAGGAATAATCTTAGCCTGTATAATAATTTGTCAATATTTGTCTGGTATATGATCTAAAAGGACATTTTGTATATCAAGAAGTTTAAAGTAACCAAACTGGATTATTTTTGTAAATAAAAAACATCCGTAGAGTTCTCAAAATCTTTTTCCCTGGTGGTCCTTGAAGAAAATCTGCTGGTACTAACTGTTGTTTCTACTGCAAAATTCCAAAATTGTGTCACTGTCGGTCCTTGCAAAACTTTGGTGGTCAAAACCTTCGGACCACCACTTTTCGAGAACCTTAATTGTTATGTTTACAAGGTATACAAGGTCAAACGTTTCTCAGACTGTTTATATAGGACTATATCCATTGGTAGTGTACTGATTGATAGTTTAGTCTCGAAGGACATGATTTATTTGTTAGTTTTAATTGGCTTTAGACAAGCTTTCAGTAACTGCAAATACTCTTATTTCGATGCTTTGTGTCTATTGTCTTAATGGTGTTTTTTTTTTCTTTTTTTTTTGTGTGTCTCGTACCAATCTTTTGAGTTAATGCTCATCTGGTGCAGAAAATTAGTACTAATTTTTACAGTTTGTTCTTTTGTTGTACTGTTAAAACCACTGTGCCAGTTTAGGGGAGAGTTGACCGCTCACAAACATGTTTAACCCAGCCATATTCTTTATGTGCCTGTCCCAAGTCAGGAGCCTGTAGTTCAGTGGTTGCATTCGTTTGAATTGTTTCACAGTTTTCATGTCGGGGCCTTTTATAGCCGACTATACGGTATGGGTTTTTATCTTTGTTTAAGGCCGTACAGTAGCTTATCATTACTTACATCCACTTCACTTGAACTCTGGTGGATAGTTGCCTCATTGGCAATCATACCACATCTCCTTATTTTTATATACATGTAATATACCTGACTTTTAAACTCGTGTTTTCTTGAACATGCATGAAATGTTTGTCACTGGACGTTAAAAATAAGCAACCAACAGTCAATCAATTTAAACTCGTGTTAAATAAGGGTAAAACCATTTGATTTTTTTTTTTTGGGGGGGGGGGGGGGATTTGAATATAATTTGGTGGCATGGTAAGAGCTGAAAATATAGGCATGCTTAGCGACAGATTAAAAATGAATAATAAATCCGCAAAAAATCCTCCTGTCCCCTCCCCCTCCCCAAAATATCAAATAGTCGTGCCCTTACTGTTATTGTCCGTGTAGCTTTTATTTCTATCCGTCTTGTCGTCCCTAAAGGGATGTCCTAAGGCATCCATACCATAAAAAACGTTTATCACTCATCTCATATTCTCTATTATATCTGCATTCATAAATTTATTAGTGTCATTTAGACTAATCGACGCCATGTTTGTTATGTGCCTCTGCCGTCTGGACTACCTATATAAAAGGAAGAGGTAGAAGTCAGCCAGAAGATCTTCCCAATGCAAAAAAAAAAAACAGAAATGGACCTCTTCTGGCTGACTAAAGAAGAACTAAAAACACGCCCCAGGTGTTACATGTAAAGTTTTTTAGTTTTTGTTTTTCTTTATCTAAATTGATTGGATTGATTAAGGCAAACAAGCTGATCTGTTTTGTAACAACGGTCTCATTAATTGTACTGCAGATCTCGATCAAATAAACATTACGTGTCTTAGTGTTATTGCTTTGAGATTTTATTTTTATACCTCAGTATGTATTTTCTTTATAAAATTATAGACGAATAAATTCACTATTTTTACGAAATTGTCTGAAAAGACTTAACCGGTTAATAGTTTAAAAACTATTAAAACCGGTTAATAGTCTTTTTACGGGAAATTTTCCCGTACTTTCTGTATCATTTGAATTGACTCGTCTCTCGAAATTTCGGAATGATTGTTTATACTGCAACTGTGCTATTTGCGCAGTCAAATAAGTATGACGTCACGCTTCAAATTAAAAAATGATGGGTAATACCCATAGATATAAAAAAAAAAAGTACTAAAAGAGAATAACTATACATTGTTTCGAAATGTTATAACAGTTTCTCTCTGTATATTAAACCACTTGTATGCTGGCTATTCACAAAATAGCAAGTTTATTGTACTCCCCGACAGCGGAGACATATAATACAAGACTCTTGTATCATATGTCTCTGTCGACAGCAATTATATTTCCACCCGCTTTGCGTCTGGAAATAGTAAGGTGGTGCCTCTGGGGACAATAAACTTGTTATTTTCCTCATAGCCAGTAAATAAGTGTATAATGTTATATTAGAGATTTCCAATAAAATGATATACGTACCAAACTCGACGTACGCACGTAATGGGACCAGTTATTTCTAACCTATTAATTTTGTTAAATGCGTCACTTAAGTTTTTACTAAGTATTTCTAAACAAAAAACCCATTCATGATAAATTTTATCAATATCAAGTATTTCTAAGATGATGAAAAACGAAAGAAATCATGATTTTTATATATCACGTGATTATTGAGATTCCCGCCAAAACTTCACTGTCATAAGACCACGTATATACACGTATCTTTACCTATCATACAATTGATTTGAGTCGTCTATCATGGTTTTTACCATGACTTTGTTTTTCGATATACTTTGTAAATGAACCTTTTATTATTTAATATTTGACATGCTTTTATTTTTCGTTATCAGATTGGTGTCCCTTTTTCCTTTCGTCTCTTAATGTTTTATAATATTTAATTTCCGTGGGTATTTATTATTAGACAGAGATTTTTCTAGCAATTTCAGAGATATCGAATTCAAAGTGTTAGTCAGAATTTGTCTCTGTTAAAGTTGATAACTGGGATTGCATCATACTTTGTTAAGCATCATTTCAAACGGTCTCTTCTTCTGCAGTTAATCTTGTTTTTTTTACAATCTCCGATTTTTTCCCCAGGGAAAACGTTCGACAAAGGGATGTGTATATTTAAAAAAATATTAATACAGTTCTTGTACTTCTTTAAATTTTAACAGTTGACATACACTTTTCTTTCAAATGAAAGTCAACATTAAAAAAAAGAATTTTGTAATTAATAATGATATATGTAAATAAATGTGTACACCAATTCGTTATATAGATTGTAATTTGGAAGGTGTACTTGATTAGCAATTGATGACTAATCTGCATATAAACATTGACCGCTGTGGATAGTAAACTTTCAATTTATAGTACATAGTAATTGGCTAAAAAAATGTCCTGTCCCCAAGTATCTCTGATTAAAAGTGGACGAGAATGCCAATTTATATACTTGTTACATTTTTAAGACAACTATAATGCCACTTCAGTCTTTACAGTAATTTTCTTTTTAAAATGTACTTTTAATTAGGAAGGCTTGATATTGTCATAGTTGTTTTTGGATTAAGACAACTCTTACTAATCCAATAAGAAGTGGATTCTAAAACTATCACACATTGATTGAGTTAAGCAAAATATTTTAGTTTCAATTTTTGTCTTGCCTTAGAGGTATATATTTATATATAAAAGTTAAACTCTACGACACATCCATGCATAGGATCACCAGTGAAGGTGATACACGGCTGAAAACACATTTTATATTAATAATTACTTTAAATATGTATATAGTTATCAAAGGTACCAGGCTTATAATTTGATACGCCAGAAGCGCGTTTCGTCTACATCAGCCTCATCAGTGACGCTCAGATCAAAATAGTTAGAAAGCCAAACAAGTATAAAATTGACGAGCATTGAGGACCAAAAATTCCATATGTAAACCAAGCTCTCTGAAGGAAGGTTTTTACAGGTTGTTCTTATGTCGTGCTGTTGCACCACTGTCCCAGGCTTAGGGGGAGGGGGTTGAACACTCATTCCTTATGTGCCTGTCCCATGTCAGGAGTCTGTGGTTCACTTGTTGACGTTGGTTCATATCTGTTATATTTGTTTTCCGTAAATTGTTTTGTTTTAAATCAGGCCGGTAGTTTTCTCAATTGAATTGTTTCATATTTTTCAAGTTGGTTCCTTTTATAGTCGACTATACAGTATGGATTTTTCTCATTGATGAAGGCCGTACGGTTGCCTATCATTGCTTTTATCCACTTCATTTCTTATTGGCAATCATACCATATCTTCTTATTTTTTTTTTTTTTTTTTTTAACTAAATACGTTTAATATTCTCAGGTAATTTAACATGTAAGAATTAGCTTTCAGTACCTGTGGGTACTTTAAGATCGGTACTCTTTGTCATTCATTATAAAACTGTAATTGTTTTAGGCTTAATTCAATATTGATTAGTTGAGCTGTTTCCAACTGAATTTTACAGGTTTTTTTCTTCTTATATTGTGCTGTTACACCAGAGTGTTGAGCGCTGGTAAACGCGTTTAATCAGGCCAAATTCTTTCCCAAGTCAGGAGCTTTCAATTCAGTGGATGACGTTGGTTACTTTCTGTCATTTTTGGGTTAATTTTACTCTAACTTGTAAAAATGTTTATTTTCGTTTGAACTGTTTACATTTTTCATAGTCAATGCCTTATATACTATAGTATCTGATAATACGGTATGAGTATTTGCTTATTGTTGACGACAGCACGAGCCACTGTAGTCGTAATTCACGCCATTTGGACTCTGTTTGATAGTTGGACGCTCCAAACGGATCCAGGTATATACATGTCGGAGTGTAAGGAATAAATCGAAAAAAGAATGCATGCTAAGCAAACTAATGCTTTTGAAGAGAAAATTGAAAATATTTGTTGAATCGGGACAGACTGGCGGACGGACAGACAGAGTGATTGCAATATGAGTGCAGGTACAATATTTTATCAGTGTACATGTATGTATCTTAGATGCTTGTGGTAAGGAAGTCTGGATCAAAACGGGGTAATCTTTACTTGTTAAAAAATATTTTATACTATTTAGAATAATAATTGCATGCCTACTGGATATTAATACAATAGCAAGTCACAAGGATAATGGAAGCTGTGAAACACATTTTACAATAAAAAAACTAAGCTTTTTGATACAAAGAAACAAGGGGGAAACCCAAACAAATTATGCAACAAAACAAGTGTTGCTAGAATAGTAATATATGCACATAAAGCATAAAATCTATAAACAGGTTTTATTAAATATGGGATTGACTGGTAGCAGGTTAGCCTCGATTACGGGTTCAATTATTTTGTTGGACCCCCTGATCGAATGATTTTAAGACTGGATTTTTCGGCTTCAACACCAAGCATGATGCATTCACGAGTAAGAGCAGGCGTTTTGTTTAATCAAAGACAAGTGTGTCTTTGTATCGGGTACGCTAATTTACCTAGCATATAAAAATGTGACTGTAAGTGTTGGTCATGTACAAAAAGGTATAATCATTTATCATTATCATTTCATCATCCTTAATATATATGTAATATTTGTCGCTGGATATAAGACAAACATCAGTATCATCATCATCATAAGTATTATAGCTTGAGGCTAAATATTCGTCGTATTTATTATAGCTTGTAAGTATCATAGCTTGAGGCTAAATTCTTATCTGATATTTTAGCCAATTTATGTCGAGAACTTATTTTACGCATGCATCTCTTTTCTACATAGTTTTTATAAATGTCCAAGTTAACGCTAATAGAGATCATAGAAGTATGTTTATCAAATGATCATGTCTACTCACAATTAAAACAGTTAGAAAGGGATTGACTCGTCCAACTAAAACGAAGCACAAAAACAGCAATTACTAGTATTTCCAAATAAACTCCATGTACCGATCTTAGAGTATTCACAGCTACTGAACACTATCTTAAAAACAACTACAACTAATAAATACAGAATAATTATCCAGTCTAGAATATTAATCAATTATTTCGTACTGTTACACCACTGTATTAGGTAAGTGGGTCCGTTAACATGTTTAACCCCGCCACACTATGTATGGATGTGACTGTCCCAAGTAAGGAGCCTGTAATTCAGTGGTTATCGTTTGTTGCTGTGCTTTCGTTCATTTTTTTGTACATTATTTAGGCCGTTAGTTTTATAGTTGTAGTGGTTTTACATTTGTCATTTTGTGGCCTCTTATAGCTGACTATTCGGTATGGACTTTGCTCATTGTTGAAGGTCGTACGGTGGCCTATAGTTGTTAATTTCTCTGTCATTTGGTCTCTTGTGAAGAGTTGTCGAATAGGCAATCATACTACATCTTCTTTTTTGTACATATCACAAATTAAGTAAAAAAAGTACATAAAAACTTTAGAAAAGCAAGACCTTGTGTCATGTCAAAAGCAGAGTGTCTGCAGGACCATTAGTGTTCATAACTGTATAGCAGATTATATGTAGTTTCTATAAAATGTAATGATAATTTATCAGTAAAAGATACATGATTATTTGTTAGTGGAATTATATATAGCTAAATAAATGAATATTTATATTAAAAGAAACATCAGAAACGAGAATATGTGTCCATTAGATTACACGCCAGTATCGCATTTCCGTGTTAAGTGAGCTCTAAATCCAGGAAAAATCCAATTCAGTTTGTAGTCTTAAACTTTTAAATCTCGTGCGAGATGTCTAAATTAATGTTCAAACATTGTTGTTTTTAAAACGTATTTATCAAAGTCAAACGACACTCATTTATTTTTTTTTGGTGCCATACAATTTGTGATTATGGCCGGATCCAAGATATTTGAAAGAGGGCATAGTTCCCGATAATTGAATTTATACTGCCGAGCGGAGCAACGCGAAAAAAAATTAGACGATTTTATACTAAACATTTGTATAGATAGGTAACGTGGAAAACGTGAGATTTTCAAAATTATTTGGCGATCGAAAGGGGGGAGTACGCCCTCTACCCCTGTATCTGCGAATGCACGTTTAGGTATACGTGGACAAAAACCTCGTCCCATGCATTATTATAGTTGAAGACTTAAAAATACTATTTGATAAATGTATCAATGATATAAATTTCTGTCAAATAACTTGAATTAAATTATAGATTTTTTTTTTAAAGTTAGTCGCGTACACCTTTTACATTCGGGTGTGTTGGAATCTACTTTTTAAACGTTAAAACTTAAAGAAAAAGAAAAAAAAAAGAGGTAAACTTCTCGCTTCGGATTTCATTATTTTAATATTTTTATGCTAAATTTTTATTTGGTAGTTTTTAAAATTCACATTTTGAGAAGAACCGAAATATGGGTCAAGTGAAATGACAAGAATTGATTGGTGTATTTGATTACAAGTTGATAGCTTAAGTATTCTATTAAAATATTTTTGTCAATTAAATCATCCAAAATTTAATAACAAAATATTTAAAGATTAAAAAAAGTATTGGGATTGATTTTTACATTAAGTCTATATCAGCAAAAAATGCGTGTTCAAAAAGCAAAAAGTGCATGCAGTGTATGCTCCCCTCCGTCATGCTTCAATGCAATCGGACGAAATACGTTGAGTTAGGTCGGTTATGTCGAGTAAAGTCATTTTATTGGAAATCTCTAGTATCACCGCATAAATACAACGAAAAAGTGTTTTGCTGATCTGTTTGAATATACTCACAGGATTCACAGGTGGATCAGTTTACTGGGATGACGAAGACTCTAGTAATGCCAATGGACATAGTGGCACTTTACCTGACGGGGAGTACGATAGTAATACACGGATAGATTTCTGCTGCAGGTAATTATTACAGTGCTGATGGGTATATATATATTGCGGTATGGTTAATTGTTTTGAATTTGATAAAAGCAATCTTTAATCAAGTATTTACACACTAGGGATGGGAATAAAATAACCATAAATCAGGAAAGACAGACAACACAGAATCAAAAGAAACAACGCCTGAAAGAGAGACAACATTCTTTGGAAGTCTACACACACAAAAAAATTATTGAGCAACACAAAATTCAGCTTAAATGAGTATTAGTTCAAGACAGTTTATTATAACGAAATTAAAATTTATCGAAGAAAGAGGGAGGGGAACAAAGCCTGTAATCAGGTCAAATTCAAAGATCGTCGTTACTAAAACGGATTTTAGTTAAACTTATACAAGTGGTAGGTAGTAGGAAGGGATACAAAACATGAAGATTTGGGGGCAATAGGTCAAAGTGTAAAGGTCACGTTAACAAAAAAAATACTGCTATATATTATACAGTTTCTTACATCCACATCATTTGCACTCTGCAGTGGATGGTTGTCTCATTGGCAATCATGCCACATCTCTTTATTTTTTGTATCGTATGAAATTCTGTCAAATGTTGGTTTTTAGGTTATAAACTATGTCTTATAATTTTTTAGGAATATTTATATATTGGGCATGTGGTTCAAATGGGCATTTTTGTATATCAAAACTATCGACCAAATATTTTAAACACAAGACAGATATACATTGATTTGAATTTTACCAGAATCTTGTTTAATAGGTTTTGGCAATTTATTGGGCATGTACCCCCAGACCCGGCGGGTTAGCCAGGTTAACTCTTGCCAATATTTGTTTAAGGGTGTGCTCCACAAAGTTTATCAGATCGGAATACAGTATTATGGATTTGTAGCAAGTTTTATTTATAATTTTAGTTTCTAGATTACTGTGACTTTTTTCAACAATATTGTTGGTTATGATGGGGACCATCCATCAATGTAGTGTTCGGGTGAACATAGGTTGGCTATGCCAACTTTCTACTTGCTAAAATGATTTGTTCAATACATTTATTATATGACTTGAGTAAATGATGGTACAAGATCACATTCTGTAGAATTCTACTTTAACGTATATTTTTTTTGCAGACACGATGGATTTTCCAAGAGAAAAATTTTACTACCAATTGATCGACCATTTTATCTGATGAGATACACCAGTACCTGTCAGGAAGTTTTTGGAATGTCTGTGAAAGAGGAAATCTTCTCTGTAGATACAGAAAATCTCTTCAATAAAGACAAATGCTCTGGCGCTCATCCATATGATCCGAACTGTAACAGGAACCACGAACTCCATTACTGTTATTATGAATACACAGGCCCAGTACCAGTTACTGTTGGTACAATAATTGGATAAACATAGATCACGTGGTTTTTCATAATGCATTCTATATAAATCAGATATGTTCATGTAATCAAGTATGCTAACCTTGAGGGCTTGGTTATAGGTCGAGGATTGATATGGACTGTGATATGGAAAACCAACACACTGCTCTATTTATCATATATTTATTGTTATTCAAAACATTGTCAATATAATCTTATACTCCAGTTTCTTCTTTTGTTATCATCCAGCAATACCAACACGCGTTACGTTAATGCAGTTTGATTATTTTTAATGTGACCTGCTTTTTATGTGATATTGGTTTCTTCATTTAATCGGTAACGAATAAACAATGTTTGTATTTTCAACTAAATATATGATGCAGAGTTATATGATTACTATGATTCATGCTGAATTCGTATCATTTAAACAATAAATAACATGATCAAACTGGTTTTTTTTTCTTAAATATATATCATTCCTTCTTTTTTTTAAACTGTAAGAACTATCCATATACAGATTAAGTGGTATTAGTGATGTATAATTCATTATATAGATATCTTTAAAACTGTGCATTTCCAAATAAATTCTATGTCTTGCAATAAGATAAGATGTTCCAAAACTTGAAAACAACTATGGATTTCATTGAGGACTACGTCAGAGCATGGGCTAAACGAGAAGGAGTTGAACTGGACACTTTGTCAGAATGGGTCAAAACACTCAGGTCTCTGATAAAACGTCGAATTCATGAGTTGAAAAACTGTGTGAATGATCGACCAAAGTCCGTTTTCAGAGACAAAGAAGCTGTGAAATGTCTATCATCTCTTCACGATAAATATGTTGTTGTTCCTGCGGACAAAGCTTCAAATAATATTGTCATTGTATGTAAATCGTACTACTGCGAGTGTCTTATGAAAGAATTAGGAATAAATAAGCACTCAGGTAATCCCACATACAAAAACATGTCATTTGACAAGGATGAGATTTTGGCGAATCATAAGTCCTTCAATGAACATTACATTGAACAGCAAATCTGAGGACTTACCTTGTTTGTATTGGATACCCAAGCTTCACAAAATTCCGTACACACAACGGTACATTGCCGGCTCATCTGCATGTTCTACGAAGGAATTGTCCATTAGATTGACAAAAATTCTGTCCGCAGTGAAATAGGGTCTTAAGAAATACTGTGAAACTGTTTACTCGCGTAGTGGTATTAACCAAGTGTGGATTCTAAAAAACTCGAAAGAACTTCTGGATAATTTTAAATCTCGATCTTTCTCTGAAATTAATTCTATCAAAACTTTTGATTTTTCAACCCTGTATACCACCATTCCCCATGTGAAATTGAAAAATCGTCTAAAAGAAATAATCCACAATGCTTTTCAATATAAAAATGGTAGTATACGTTATAAATTTATTACTTTGGGATACCATACGGCATATTTTGTTGATAGTGAACAAATAGATAAAACATGCTACACAGAGGAACAAGTGATCAGTATGCTGGGGGTTCTTATTGACAACATATTTGTTGAATTTGGAGAAAGACTTTTTCAACAAATTGTCGGCATTCATATGGGAACGAACTGTGCTCCTCTCCTTGCTGATCTTTTCTTATTTTCATATGAATCAGAGTTCCTTCAGACACTTGTCAAAAACAAGAAGATCAAAGAAGCCAGATAATTTAATTTAACATTTGGATATATTGATGATGTTCTTTCCATTAACAATCCAAACTTTTCTGATTGGGTTTCATTAATATATCCTTCAGAACTAGAAATTAAAGAAACAACAGACACGGCTTCCTCCGCATCATTTTTAGACATATACCTCGAATTTAACATAAGCAGTCATCTCAGTACCAGAATCTTTGACAAACGAGACGATTTTAGTTTTGAAATTATCAATTTCCCCCACCTTAGTATCAATATACCAACTTCACCTGCATATGGGATATACATTTCCCAACTCATTCGGTATTCAAGAGATTGCAGCTGCTACTCAGACTTTATAAAACGTCACCAGTGTCTGAGCAGAAAGTTGATGAACCAGGGTTGTGTCAAAGAACGTCTCGTCCTTTTTCTAAAAAAAAGTTCATCGGGAGATACCAAGACCTTGTCGACAAGTATTCCGTATCAACTTCACAAATAAAACATGATGGTCTTGAAGTATAGATTCTAGGTACTGACGTTTTTTATCATCTTAATTACTTGTTATAGTGTTCTTTTGTTTGTCTTTGTAAATTATTACCTTTACTGTTAGTCCATTTTTAGATATACATGTATCCTTGGCGTGGCTCGGTACTTATACATCCCGTCATTGTGTTATTGTCCAATGGTCAATTTTTGTGTTCTTGTCTTTCATTTTTGCTTAATATGTGCTTTGTCTATATGCCATTTTGTTTTTCTTTGTTGACATGTTTGTTTGTTTTTCTAGTGATTAAGATTATAACACAATATTGACTGCTGTATCCCTATTTTTCATTTTTTTACCTATTATGTCTGTTTGTTTTGTTCACACGTTGTTGTCAATATAATGGAATTTTATGCGGCTGTCATACAAGTGAGAGGTTTAACTAGCTATAAAACCAGGTTTAATCAACCATTTTTTACATAAGGAAATGCCTGTACCAAGTCAGGAATATGACAGATTTTTTCCATTCGTTTGATGTGTTTCAGATTTTGATTTTGCCATTTGATAAGGGACTTTCCGTTTTGAATTTTCCTTGGAGTTCGGTATTTTTGTTATTTTACTTTCCACTATACAGATGATACAGATGTCTCTACTCATACAAATTATTCATCTTATTCCTGCTGAAGGTCGTGGTCACGGTCTCTCCGGGATAATTCGGTTTCCTCCACCAATAATAACTGGCCGCCACGATATGGCCTGTAGTGCTGAAAAGTGACGTTAAACACCAACAATCCGTCAATCATTACTAGTATTCCCTTTACTATGAGCGACAATTAATCTGATTAAGGTGGTACCAAACACCTTGACTAAAATTAATTCGACTCGTTTGATTTTCATGAAATTTTGACAAAACATTTACTTTGACCCTTTGACAAAAATATAAAATTTCAAAAAACTTGAACCACACACTTTATCGGAAAAATTGCATTTAATATATCTAGCAGTTTAACAAACACTTATTTTGATCATTGAGAAACTTAATATTAAAACGTTCAGCTGATTTTTACAGAGTTATCTCCCTGTAGTGTTATGTACCACCTTAATTTGAGTCCCAATTAATTCGTGGTCTTAAGAGGAATGAGTGGGAACAGTGGGAAACTAAGGACCTATTCAAAAATGAAAAAGAAAAACAGTAAATAGCTTTCGAAAAACATATTAGTTCTATCACGGTGTCTTGGAAAGAGAAAGTCTTGACAAGCCTCACATTTCTTTTTCTTCCAAGAACCTTCATGAAAAGATTTATAAAACTACCGACAATAAATTGTATGCCATCAGGGTGACGAGGAATGTTTATAATGTATTGTTCAATTAGTTTCTGCCTTGGAGGAAGTAATATCTTATCTTCAAAACATACTCAGTCTTTCTTTTGCATTTAAACGTTCTAGGGTAACAGGTATGTGAATGGGCGACCTCACAGATTTTTATGAGAACTATATAGGAAACGAGGAAGTGCATACGGATATCGAAAAAATAATATGCAACTTTTATTCTTTTCCAGATGAAGCAAATTTAATATTTGTATACATTTCTTTAAAATGAAATGTTCTGCTATGGTATGAACATTGTCATTTAAATTTTCTTTTTAATGATATCAAATTTTTAATTGTTCATTGATTTCTGTTTTGCTGTATAAAACATTCAAGTGCATGTGTAATATTCAAAACATCGAAAAATTCACTGGTTTAAAACGAATTACAAACTAACCTTCGTTACTATTATTTTAGAATGACCGAGACCGAACACGATATTTGTTCTTGTACTATTTCACCAAATATACTATTCTGTCAAAAATTAAGCAGACTACAATAAACTCTGTTGGTATTCTAATAATCGTCATAGGTTTAGGTCTAAACATCCCTTTTCAAAATTAGCAAAACTTTAAAAAAAAATATATTGAGGATAGTAACTTTGGCCTGGGACTATTATACTAACTGTTAGTATAATAGTCCCAGCTTTGGCAAGCGATTTATGTAAAGTAACACACAGATAAACACGTCGACCATAGTTATAGTCTATAGTTAATTATTTGTATACAATTCAATGTACATTTGGACAGAAAATTTTATGTATATATATTCTCTTTTCATTAATTCCCTGGTCCATACTAAAATCGGAAATGTCTATCGGTTGTCGAAAAGTCGTTATTTCGGGAACTAAAACACAATTATACATTATTAAGGCGTAAAATAATGCTCAAGACAGAAGTTCTCAAGTAATAGTAACTTTTATCTCTGATTTCTGTAACTTTCGTCTTTGTTTTTATCCTGTTGGACTATCCTACCTGGTTTTTTTCAATATATCGTTTTTCAACATTTTTTAAAAAGAAAATGTAAAATGATTGAAAACATGTTTAACGTACTTGGTTTCTATGAACATCTTGAGATAATACTCTACTATCATTATACAAGTAAGGGGGTGTTGTGTGATTGCCAATGAGACAACTATTTCACCAAAGTCCAAAAAACGTAGATTTAAGCAACAATAGGTCACTGTATGGCGTTCAACAATGAGAAAAACTGTAGTCAGCTGTAAAAGGCTCCGACACGACACGAAAAATGTGAAACACTTCAAAAGAGAAAACTAACGGCCTAATTATTAACTTACAAATAACAAATATAAGAGACATGAACCAAGTACAACCACTGAATTACAGGCTCCTGTCTTGGGATAGGCACATACATAATGTGGCGGGGTTGTTAATATATCGTTGTTTTTCAGTCGATAAGACACATGCACTTGATTGATTTATACGGGGGGAACCCCACAAAAACATAACAATAATGTGATAATAACATATCATTCTATAGAAAATTCGTAGGACAGGTTTTTAAGCCGTATTTAAAGTCAAATTAGTGAATATAATATATTGTATATTATATAATTAATCAATATTTTGCGATATTTACGTGCATTCTACATGACTTTTGTTTGTATATATTTGCACTTTTATCTGCATGATAGCTAATTTGATTTATTATACTTCATGTCAAAATGCCAGATTTTGATTGCTTAATACGAGGAAGACAATTTACTCTATCCCATGGCAAACACTCTATTACCCTTCACGGAGACGCTAGCTCAAGTGTGCGCTTTAATAAATACGGATGATTGTAATGTACAAGACGACATAGTTTATTACTTTGAATTTGAAATTCAATAGACAGTAATAACAGAACATTCAGTATAATAAATTAAATATCACATATCTGAGAGGGTGATAGAGCAGATTGTTACCCCTCGAAAAGACATTGTCAACCTTGGCTTCGCCTCAGTTTACAATGTTTTCTCGGGATAACAAATTAATCTGCTCTATCACCCTCTCAGCTATGTGTTATTCATATATTATAACATTGGTTGCAATGAAATACAGTCATTCCCTAGTAAAAAAATTAATTTAACCCCTCTTACGTCATACAACAATAAATGTTGCCAAAACGTGATCAAGTAGTTGTATTAGAACGAAGAGAAAACACGTAGAAAAGAAATAAGTAGCTTGTATTTTCTACTTTATTCACATTGAAAATCAGTGAAATAAAGGGAATGAATAATTTAATGAATTCAAATATTTAAAAAAAATATTCAACACGTGATCGAACAACACTGATAATTTATAAAACTCATGCGAATTCTTGAATTAATGTAATGTTAAATATCTCGTTGACAAAACATTTTGATATTCAAATTCGTGGATTAGTTATCCTTCAATTATCTCGGAAATTATAAAAAAATAAACATATAATTTTTTCATATGCAGTTCCACTTCGTCTAGTTGCTTGCAAGATTCAATAAAAAAATCCGCGAGATCGCAAATTTAAGCGCTCATTTCCTTAATTGTTTTAATATTTAAATCCGTCCAAGAAAACTGTTTTTATTTTTAAAAATCCCACCTACAGTTACATTCTATTTGGTGCAAAGGTCACGGATACTTTCATCTCTGGAGGTAAAGTACTAGACGAAGCAGACAGTTCTTTCGGTACGGAAGTTCGGTATGTTGTCAAAGGTGACCTTGGACTACGAGGTGAGCTGCTACAACTTTTATCCCTGAGCGAATTGCGAAGTCTTTCGTGTATCTCATTTTCGGTATAAACTGGAAGATAAACATTTTCATCGTAGGTCGAGGGAATTTCAGGTTTCATAACAGGAGACGTAAATCCGTTCAGTAATAGTTTTTCTCTTGACATAAGAACTCTGTCAATTTTTTCTGGAGCAACAAGACTTCGTGGATGCACTTCAATGTTTGGAAAATTCTTCTGATGAGTTTTTGCGCTTGTTTTTCTCTTTTTTAACTGAATACAGTCTGTACAATAATAGGGGCCTAACACATCACAGTGTGCGTGTCTATTTTTTATTCGATCATGTCTATAATGCCTGTCACAAATTGGGGTTTGATATTGGAGCAATCTTAATGTATCAAGCCTTGTTTGGTCGGCACTTACAACTCTGTCTTGAATGGTTGTTGTGAATTTAGCCTGATACTCAGCATCGTTTACCTTATGTAGTCTTTCGCTTCTCGTCTGGAAAAAGCGCTTTTGTAAATTATTTGTCTGCTCCTGATGATAATAAGGACTATATAAGGACTGGGGATGTCTGCTTGTTGTGATCATGTCAGAAAGCAAACGCATATTAGTTTTAAAAAGAGCCTTCTCCACTTGAAGCTCAACCCTGCTTTCTGGTACAATATGTCCGAGCGGTCGAGTATGGAATCTTTTAGACATCATATTGGTATAATTCTGTTTCATACTTATATCATGTTTCCGTTTCTGTGGATTATGATCTGTAAAACACACACACATGTATATATATTATTAAAATAAAGGCTTTTAGGACACAACGAAGTAAAAATACAACGATATATTTTTTTATATTCCCATTTTTATTTTTTTTTATTTTATTAAAAATTGAATAGAACAGAGATGTGCTTCAGTAAAGCTAGGCGGATTGATATTTTAGTCTTAGATACATGATTTTTTTTTTATTAGTTGTTTTTGGCTTTGAACTAGCTGTCAGTAACTGCTAGTACTCTCACATCTGTAAAAGTAAAACCTTTTTCAACTGATTTTTGTAGTGTGCTGTTACACAACTGTCCCAGGAGGGTGAGCGCGCACAAACATGTTTAACCCCGCCACATTCTTTATGTGCCTGTCCCAAGTCAGGAGCCTGTAGTTCAGTGGTTGTCGTGAATCATGTCCGTCATATTTGTTTTTCGTTAATTGTTTTGTTATAAATTAGGCCGTTAGTTTTCTCAATTGAATTGTTTCATGTTTTTCATGTCGGGGCGTTTCATAGCCGACTATACGATATAGGGTTTTCTCATTGTTGAAGGCCGTACGGTTGTCTATAATTGCTTACATCCACTTTATTTGAACTTTGGTGGATCATACATCATCTCCTTATTTTTATATTATCTTTAAACACTGGTACATTTTGGAAATGCTGTTCACCAAAACTTTGCTCCTGCAGTCGGAATCAACATTTTTATTAAATAAAAACAAAAGAGGCACCACATGAATTAACACACCACAAAAATTAACCCCCCCCCCCCACAAAAAGCCGCAACACGACGTATGAATTTCAATAGAAATGTGTCACCAGACCCAAGGATCAAAACTGCAAATTAGATCGTAACTTTATAGATATCGCTTCCATTCAGCTTAGTAACGCGAATAGTCAATATATAACATTCAGCCGTAAAATATTTGAGAGTGACAATATCTAGCACTATTTCTATTAAAAATAAAAATGTTCACAGTAAATATATATCCAAAGTTAAGCTATTCTGTTCACTGGTGTCCAACTTTTACCTGCTGCTTCTCTAAAGAGAGCGTTGTTTTGTTCTACAAAATCCTGCACATAAAGCGGAGAAATGTGAGATACCGATTTCAGAGCGCAAGAACTTTCATAATCATGCACGAAAGGAAATTTACAAGAAAATAAGCATAAATTTGAATGCATCAAAATAAAAATGCCCTACACAACTCGCCGTAATACGTTAATCAAATTTTGCCTCAACCTAAAAATATATAGGACGTCAATCCTTATAATTGGTGGAGTTAGTGGATTTTTTTGCGTAAATAAACTCATCGTAGATACCAGGATTGTAATTGTGTACGCCAGACACGCGTTTCGTCTACAAAAGACTCATCCGGTGACGCTCGAATCAAAAATTCAAACGCTCGCTTATTGTTTATTTTCATTTTTCTTGTATTTCTGTCTTTGTTATTTATTATACCGTTATATATATAGAGTACAGTATTTTGTTTGTACTGATTTAAACTGATTAATATTAAAGAGGGTTAAAATCCCGAAACAACGAGTGTTTACCTTCACATGTTCATGCGCTTACGAGTCAGGAACCTATCCAGTGGTTGTCTTTTATTCTAACATGACGTTCTTCAAACGCTTTGAGTACACACCCGTGGTAAAATATGAATATATTGTTTGGGCTGTTCCGATCGTACTCCCGCGTCATATGCTTTTTTATGAATGAGCTACCCGACGTCATAGAACGATGACGTAAGAATATAAGCATTTTTCGGGAAAAAACACGCTTGTGAAACCGAAAATCATCACAACAAGGAAACGTAAACAAACGGTGCTAAAATGTGTTATATAAGCCATTTTTTGTTTCCATATAAGATATATAAATACAATTATCATTTAGATTTATTCAAACCTATCTAAATATGTCATTGTAAATAGTTTAAGCATGCCATTTATTCAGTTTGCTCCGTTCTTTTACGTCAATTTAATAGTGCGTTCATTTCATGGGAACGGCAAATAATGCCTTCACCTAGAGCGCTTCGATCCAAAAGAATTGCCGTATTTGTCCTATTAGAATCGAAATAATTCATGGGGGCTTGAATATATCGTGATTTTACACTGAAAACCTAAATTAGTCAATTTGACCAATTTAATTGGTCATTTTGACTGTCCTCTAGATGACAATGCACTTTAATCATTTTGACTATGCTCTTAGTCGTTTGACTAGATGGTTAGTCACATTTGACTGAGTAGGGTGGTAATTATGACTATGTTAGGAAGTCAAAATGACTATATGTTATACTCGTTATGACGAATTGGATTGTTCAATTGACTGTGCACATTTGTCAGTTTGACAATTGAATGCAGTCCATATGACTTATTGAAATGGTCGAAAGTGACCATGTTGGTTAGTCAACATGATTACTGTGAATAGTCACGACTGTTAGACTGTTATTTTAATTTGTGTTGTGTTTTTTGTTCTACCGTTTTACTTTGTGTGTGTTTCTATCCGTTCTGTACTTTTGTGTTTCATTTCTTCTGTTATTCTACTTTATGTTGTTTCTCTTCCATAGGATTGACAAATGTATCTGGAATATAATATCATAAAAATACCACAGCAGCAATACTAACAATGACAACAGTATAGGACCACATTTTAGTGCTCAATGTTCAAAACCTTCCTATATCTTAAGTTTCCATTTGTTACCATTACTCAGTGACATATATTAAAAGTCTAAAAATCAAATAAAGAATATGTATTTATTATAAACTCATTGTTACATACATTATGATATCCCAACTTAAATATATATTTTATACATTTTCAGTATGTCAGAATTTGAAGTGTTTATTTAAGATATTTTGTCGGTATCAACTCTGCATGTGTCAGTGTAATATTCTCTCTGGTCAAAAATCTCTCAGCTGTGCTCATACAAATAGCAATGTCCTCATTTGCTGAAAAATATAATTATATCATTTTAGAAGCTAAAATATAACAATAAACAAGTATATCAGTCATGTTAAAAGTTAAAAGAAAAAAGCAAATTTTAAAATCTTTGATCTAGTGATTTAGTCACTCATCTTATACCATTATTTTGTAATGTAAGCACCGGGATCTTGACAGCCACCCATCCTATATCACAACATTGTAATGTAAGCACCATGATCTTGACAGCCACCCATCTTATACCACAACATTGTAATGTAAGCACCGGGATCTTGACAGCCACCCATCTTATACCACAACATTGTAATGTAAGCACCGGGATCTTGACAGCCACCCATCTTATACCACAACATTGTGATGTAAGCACCAGGATCTTGACAGCCACCCATCTTATAACACAACATTGTAATGTAAGCACCAGGATCTTGACATCCACCCATCCTATATCACAGCATTGTAATGTAAGCACCAGGGTCTTGACAGCCACCCTGAGGTTTTTTTTTAATTTATTGTTGTGAATATCGATTGCAGTGTTTATTTTAACAGTTTTTGGTCAGATGAAAAAAAAGATATCGCTAAATACTCTTTTCAATCGACAATACGTTGAATGTGTATCAAAATTGATATCCCGTATACATATCTCCCCCTTTTTTATTGTCATTTCGTCAACATGTGCCGATATTACATTCATTACACTTCTTTTTCTTAAATTTAATTTTTGTAAGTTAGAATTAAAACATATAAACATGATACTTACTTTAAACAATTGGTTTAATTGACAAAATAACAGTTTCGTGCCTCCTGGTTTGTTTACATCTACACGATTTAGGGAACAAAGGGAACGCGAAAGAGTGCGCGTGAAAACCGATACTCTACACCACGTGGTGCTGTGACCACTAACATAGTCAAATTGACCGTGCAGGTAGTCACAATGACTTGATTAGTAGTCATATATGCTGTTGACTACCTTTCGGCTAATATTTGACTAACTGAATAGTCATAGTGACTAATTTAAATTTTCAGTGTACCACGGGTTGTCCCTTTATGCCGATATTTTACCCCTCGCTATCGCTCAGGGTAAAATACTTGTCATAAAGGGCCAACCCGTGGTAAAATCACGATATATTCAAGCCCCCATGAATTATTTCTTAAATAGAATTATCTAAAAATCATTCTGGGAATCCGGTGTTGTGATATATCTTTGATAGTCTCTGTTAAATTTAAAGAACTTTCGGGCGATATAGAGAATGGCATTTTTTATAGACACCTAGCTGTAGACATTTTTGAAAGCCATATCTTCACAGATATGTGTATTTTTGGTTTTGTGTCGTTGGGTTGTTGTCTAATTGACTTATATCAAGATTTCATTTAGTTAATACTTGATTTAGCAGATTTAGTTGATTTCATTTTTGGAGTTTAATCGTTTTCATGTCCCCTATCCGACATTAAAACACCGGGTCGTATCGTCTTTCTGCATACATGACGATCATTCTATGATGTTTATTTAATTCAGCAATGTTCATTATCGAGCACTGCATGCTAGCATTTGCGATCATATAGTTGTAGTTTTATAAAGGAAACAGAACAGAGGAAAGTAATCGCGGTCGAATTATATTGCTCTAGATCACCCGAGACTTGTTTATTATTTAAGATAATTCAGCTAACTTTCGGAAACGAAAAGCAGTGCTCTTTCAAAAATGTTTTTTCATCGAATTTTCCAAAACAAATTTATTCATGTCCCTTTTGATCAATACGTTTACACGTTATTTTCCTTATTATCTTCCAAAGAACTAGTAATAACCAAAATGTAAAATGGCAACAAAGCCGTTAAATGACCCTCACATGTCAATGGCGTAGCAAGGTTCTGTGTGGTATATAGCAGTTTCTGGTAGGGGTCCAGGGGCAAATGCTCCAGTAGGTTCGTTGAGCAAATGCCCAAGAAGATCCGAAGATTTAGAGATAAGAGCATGTAATCCATGTTGCAAAATGTTTCTGTCGCCTATATAGTCCCTCTGGTCTGTCCTCTTTAATCTTTAAAATTGAATTTAAAAGATTAAATAGGACAGATCAGAGAGACTTCAGGCGATTATTGTCTGTAATGATAGAGGATAGTTATACCTCGATAGATGGACGAGAAAGTTTGATAAGTTAATGACTTTTTACTTATTAGAACACCAGTATAATAAAATGCTGTCAAGTTTACTAATTGGTGTATGGATCGGTGTTAAATATTTAGTGGCAAATAGCACGAGCATATTTGGACAAGAATATGCTGATATGATATGAATATGAATATATTAGACCGAAATGTAGAAGGTACATGGTAACAGTCCGAACAGAAAATGTCAAACTACCCGGACACATTAATCCGATCCGTCTTTGTAATTATACTCCTAAATGTCGCATGCTTAGCGGAAAAGCAACGAAGTCCTACCCGGGGATCAAACCCTTGATCTCAAGTGCCCGAGGCAAGAAAGACACCATGAGACAACAGAGGCGGGCGTGTAACCATTAAGGACACTCAAGTAATACAACAAACTCTGAGTAACTTGACTAATTTGAGACAAACATTACAAACCATTGCACTATATGTAGGCCGAACGACCGACATGATACTAATTTATAATTTTACATTTACTATGACTTAGTTATTGGAGCGAAACTTGCTGTATTGGCATGAGTTTAACGCCCTGTCACAAATACTTGTCCCATCTCGTAAAAAGTCCCATACTTTAGAGTGACACCCTTTGGCTTTCGGGATACTAGTATTGAATTACATATTCGCAGCCATGTCCGATCGGAATGGGTACGTTAAATCCGATGACGTGTTCAGAGAAAGTGACAGACTCGCTGCACTTTAAAGAACCTTTGTAACATTTGTTGAGGGGTCCGTAGGTAGCATTGCAAACTTTCTTGTCCCATCTATTATACCCTTATTTTCCAGTGGCAGTCCAAATGCCCTACTCTTCATCCAAGTCGACCAACTTAACAGATCAGACCTATTGTATTAATCTTTACCCGTACGAAATATGCGTGAAGTATGACTGTGAATGTTAAGAATGCAACATTAAATCGTTAAATATATGGTATAAGAACTGATCAAACTAAGTTACACGTTAAATGTCGTGTATATCGTTAAAAGATAGGTTTGTCCTATAATGCAGAAGCCCAGTTTAACTAGATTTTGACGGCAATGTTACGTATTATTTGGCCACTTTAACGGCTTAATCATATAAAGAATTGTATGCAGTTTCAAAAGCTCGAAAGGACATCTCCAACCATATATGTTAGTGGGACTGTAATATATATATGGTTTACGATTTCAATGCATGTAGGTAACAGGCAGTAAAAATAGCGACTTCGGTATTTTTTTATAATGCTGCCCTGACGTGATCACTATCTCTCCTGTTCATTTTTTCCTATTCATTTTTTTTACTAGTTTGTGCACATCAGTGAGTATTTATGTCATAATAGTATAGATATGCCACTGGAAGTGACAAAAAAAATTTTGCTTTTTGTTGTAAAAATACAATATGAATGTTGTTATTGGTTAGAAATATACACATAATTTATCTCATAACATCTGAAATCCGACGAACAAACATTAAATTCCCACAATAATGAGTTAGGGTAATATCATAATTACTTAATTATTTGTACATTGAGCAGAATATTTCTTTGTTCGCTGACTTTTAACTGGAGAAATATTATCATATGTATAGATGAACCCCTTTTCATATTCAGTAATAAAAATCTTTACAAATGCATAATTGTGTTTCAACTTTCATTCAATCCTAAATTCGGTGTTATTTAGTGCATAACGAAATGGTAAACATGTCAGAAAAGGATTTCTTTATTTCACGAACTGCAAAGAAAGTGGTGACCTGACCTCCAAAACAAATCTCATCATATACACTCAACTTACATGATTGCTTTAACTCCGAGACATTTCAATGGTACTCACGGAAGAAAATTCTAAGTCAAGAAAAATGAAAGGATGCGTTTCTAAGCTAGATCATACGGGTCTTTCCCAGGTTTTCAATAGAATTCCGGTTCCCCAATTTTAAATTTTTTTTAATGTTGAAATTCACTTTTTGTCTTGTTATTCATGTTGAAAATGGCTGATGTTGCGATTATGAAAATGTTTATTGAACAACTGTGAGTGTCTACACAATATGGTCCAACATACATGCAATCAGTTTTGAAATATGATTTATTTTTGTTTGTCTAGTATAATTTCCATCAGCAATTATTTGACGATTATTTCATTTGTCGTCGGGTGGGCCGCGAGAATGAATGGCGTTCCGAGTATAGGGTTCGAAACATAAACGGCAAATAAGCAAACAAATGTTGAGATGCAACCAAAGAGGAAAGACCATTCCCACCTTAGTTTTCTCTAAATTGATTTCACATAGTTGAGGGCCATTTTCATCAAAAGTTTATCACACTTCGTTCACAGTAACACGGCGTCATCTAAGATATTTTGCGTAGCACTGTATTTCTCAGGAATCCTATGCCAGTCGCCAATAGAAATAAAGGATATTCCAAATCCAAACGCTATGTGAAGTGAAATAATGCATTGTTTTAAAGACACAAGTAATTTCCAAAAGATACAACATTGAACAAGAAATAATCCAAAATTGCAATATTGCATTAGAATGGTCTAAAACAGTAATGTAAAGTGCTGATTTTTGTTCATTTTATAGATGTATCTAAATCTTTTAACAAATCTTTTCTGTAAAATATACATGTTTAAGACTTCCTAATATTCAAATTCCATAAAGTGATTTCCGATTTAGTCTCCATGAGTGAACAAATATAGACGAAACTAGAAACCCTCCTTTTTCACTTGCTATACAGGCAGATACAAACCTTTTAGAACTCTGTTAACATCATTACTTAAAAATGAAATGTCCACAAATTCTTACCTTTCTTAGACAACATTCCAGTCTTAATATGGAAGATTGTTTGGAAGGATGGAGACAACCAATTAGTTTTCCAATAACTTGTGTAAATTCCTGCTAATCAGTTTGTTCAATCAATTTCCCTTTTGAAATAAATGCAGATTTGTTTTCGGTTTAACTTTCGTCAATATAACTTATTTGTTGCAGTTGGCGTATTTTTACCTGGATTTCCGCTGCATGCACTTGAAATCGTACTCCGACTTCCATATGAAACTAAACGATCATAAAGCGATCAATAGCAACTTTCTATGACGACAATAGTTACATGTTATTTTTCAGAAAAATATTTTTCTTTTTTGTAGTGGAGGGGTGCTTGGTCTTGTTTATAATTGTTTATATATCCATTTATGTGCATGGGGTAGCTGTATTCAACCATTTTCCTTAGCATATCCAGTACATACATGTATCAATCAAACAATCCCAGTCACGATATTTTAATAATATTTACCTTTAATTTCTTCTTGTTATCATATTTCAACCTTTCAAATACGTATGTACTTCTGTAAGTTTGATTTTAAGCACTACTGTGGAACAACGAAGTAAACTGAGTAAATTTTTTGTACAACTGAACATCAATTGTTCTCTATACTTTTTTTGATCAGACACAAGTTTCAATTCATTCCTTACCCGTTTCTCATTACCAGCTTCCTGAACTCTTTGAGCACACCGAGAAGACATACGCTTACGTACCTTATTCCGTGTGAACGTTCTCTGATGTCGCCTTACATCCCAGTTAATAATATTAAAAAAGATTTATCAAATTTCTACAAACTACCTGAAGTCTATTGACGGTAGATTAGATATGTCAGGATTTTAAAATCCATTGAGAATACAGCTATCAATCTTACTGTTTTGTTAAAAGAGATATGTAAACTACATTCAATACCCAGGTTGTTGATATCAAAGAAAACGTACAAATGTAAATTGAGTGTCAATATTTGGTTGACATGAAACTAAAAGGATTTTTATTAAACGATTCAAAAGATAAATGAACACATGTATATGTAGTATTGGTGTATCTTAATGCTTGTGCGGGTACATGTGGTAGTTATAGATATCACACAATAATAAAATGTAATAAATGTTTTTGAATCTACGGTTTCACTGTTAATGTGAAATGCATTCATTCAAATAAAAAATAAAATAAAGCGTGTATGTTTCAATTTTGAGGTGATACTTAAAATTAAAATAAGGAGATCTATTCAAAAATTTTATTCGCGGACATGTTGAAGATAGATGAGATAATATAGACCTACTAAAATATTTCTAAAAATATTCAAGTCTATTTTAAACAGCCCTTTTTAGATATTATACGTGTGTATAGAAATTTGTCTCAGTCTCTCCGTCTGGCTGATCGAGATGTATAAATACGTAACTTATATTGTAGTCGAAGCTCGTGACTAACGACCTCAATTAACTGCAGGATGATTCCCTAGCATTCTAAAATACGTTCAATGTGGAAATTGTTCAGAATTGACTGATTAGCTGCAAAACATTAAATTAACACTTTATTAATTTCATGCGTCCGAAGCGCTTTTCTGGATTTACCGAGTCATCAGGAATGCTCACAGCCGAATATTTGAAAGCCAAGGATGTATAAGAACCGAAACAGTTGGGAGCTATATAAACAAAAAGGAGATAAAGAAATAGCCAAATCCATTTAAGGTCAACTTTGCTTTAGGGAGTTGAAACCTTAGTTTCTTTATAATTTCAAAATTTATAAACGGACAATTTTTAGAAAGGTTTATTTAAAAAATCATGTCGTATCAAAGTACTGACTATTGAGCTGATGGATAGGCCACCTGCAGATCTAGAGGTATCTGTGCTCTAACGTAACGCAACTGTGCTCTAACGTAACGTCACAGATAACTTCAAACGTTGTCAATGGTTCCGATCGTCTAATATCCCGAAATGGCGGCCAAGAAACCCGCTTATGACCATGAGCGACGCAAACAAATAAGTATTAGAGGGATTGCACCGGTTGAAAATGTTAGTAACATCAAAAACTCTTTCAATCGACATCTGCATTATACTTTGGTTAAAGACCGTGATGTGGCTACATCATGGGACTACTACGAAGCTTTAGCACATGTAGTTCGAGATCACTTAGTCGGCCGATGGATAAGAACACAACAACATTACTTCCGAGAGGATCCAAAGCGAGTGTATTATTTATCGATGGAGTTTTACATGGGCAGAACGTTAAATAACACAATGGTCAACTTAGGCCTAGAAAACGCATGCGATGAAGCAATGTATCAGCTTGGGTTGGATATAGAAGAACTAGAGGAAGTAGAAGGTGATGCTGGATTAGGAAATGGTGGACTTGGACGATTGGCTGCTTGTTTTATGGATTCTCTATCTACACTAGGAATAGCTGCATATGGTTATGGAATCCGTTATGATTATGGGATCTTTGAACAAAAGATAAACAATGGATGGCAAACAGAAGAGCCCGATGAATGGTTAAAGTTTGGAAATCCATGGGAACGTGCGAGGCCAGAATATGTACTTCCAGTCAAATTCTACGGACGTGTTCAACCAACAGATAAAGGCAGCAAATGGGTTGATACACAGCTTGTATATGCCATGGCTTACGACACACCTATTCCAGGGTTTAATAATAATACTGTAAACACAATGCGTCTTTGGTCCGCAAAAGCTCCAAATAGCTTCAATCTGCAATTTTTCAACAGTGGAGAGTATATGCAAGCGGTGTGTGATAGAAATTTGGCCGAGAACATAAGTAAAGTTTTGTATCCAAACGACAATATGTTTGAAGGGAGAGAATTAAGGTTGAAACAAGAATATTTCCTCGTCTCAGCATCCTTGCAGGATATTATTCGACGGTACAAACACACAAAAGCGAGGCGTGAAAGAGATAACTTTGAATGTTTTGCGGATAAAGCTGCTATCCAGTTGAACGATACACACCCATCGTTGGTTATTCCAGAATTAATGCGGCTTCTTGTTGATGAAGAAGGTCTTGCATGGAACAAAGCTTGGGATATCGTTGTGAGAACATGTGCCTACACAAACCATACACTCCTTCCAGAAGCTCTTGAACGTTGGTCGGTGGCTTTAATAGAGAAATTACTTCCACGTCATTTGCAGATTATTTTTGCTATCAATCACCTTTTCTTAGAACGAGTTGAACTCCGTTGGCCTGGTGATATGGAAAGGGTTAGGAGAATGTCTATGGTCGAAGAAGACGACGAGAAAAGAATTAATATGGCATTTTTATCAATTGTTGGAACGCACGCAACAAACGGTGTTGCTCGCATCCATTCTGAACTTCTGAAAACCAGTGTTTTTCGTGATTTTTATGAGATGTTTCCAGAACGATTTCAGAATAAAACGAATGGAATAACCCCTCGTCGCTGGCTGCTGATGTGTAACCCTGGACTCTCAGAGCTGTTATCTACAAAGTTAGACAGTGACTGGGCCACTAATTTAGACAAACTACAGCAGTTACAAAAGTATAGCAACGATGAAAAATTTCTGCATGATCTTATGATTATTAAATTATACAATAAAACAAAACTGGCAACTTACCTGAAGGCAACGTGTAATATTGTGGTAAACGTATCCACCATGTTTGATATTCAAGTAAAAAGAATTCATGAGTACAAGCGTCAGCTGTTAAATTGTCTTCATATAATAACTATGTACAACAGATTAAAGCGCAATGAGACAGAGGGCTTTGTCCCAAGAACTGTAATGATTGGCGGGAAAGCTGCCCCAGGTTATCATATTGCTAAGTTAATAATCAAACTAGTCAACAATATAGCAAATGTTGTGAATAATGATCCACAAACGAACGAGCGATTGCAGGTTGTATTCCTTGAAAACTACCGTGTATCACTGGCTGAAAAGGTGGTACCCGCTGCAGACCTTAGTGAGCAGATTTCGACGGCTGGAACTGAGGCTTCTGGGACAGGAAATATGAAATTCATGCTGAATGGTGCTATGACTATTGGAACTCTTGATGGGGCAAACGTAGAAATGAGAGAAGAAGTAGGAGAGGATAATTTCTTTCTTTTCGGGATGACAGTGGGTGAAGTGGAAAAGATAAAGAAGGAAGGATACTACTCTAAAATGTATTATGACCAAAATGCAGAGCTCAAAGAAGCTCTTGATCAGATCAACGATGGCACATTTTCTCCAGAGGACACTGGTTTGTTTAGAGATCTTTTCAACAGCTTGGTGTTTGATGACAGGTAAGCAGATATTTATTGATCAGCGTTGAAATGCATAGAATTCAAGTTATGATGTTGTTTGTTGATTGAACATAGAATTGAACCTACAAGTATCTGTGAAATTGCAGATCCAGAAAACACTTTTGGAGAGAAAACAAATATTAAATAACAAAGACCCTCCCCGTGATCGATATCTCCCACTCAAAAGAGCCTCGTAAAGCAGCGGAATTTAACGACTGAATTATTCGAGTAGCTTGTGAGCATAATATCGGACCAAACTCTGTTTAACATTCAATCAAATATGCTTTAAAACAAATATACATCAGTTGTTTCGTCCGAAAACTCTTGTCTGGATTGGTCGTTATTGGGAACGCTCTAAGTGTGGTGGTACTTAGACTGGTATCCGGCATTTATTGAAATTCTTGACAATATTTGTATATTCCGAAGGCATACTGAATATTTTACGGAGGGGACCAACCTAGGTGGTACTACATGCACTTTCACACATACATTGTGGTTGCAATCGAGAAAATAACCGTCACTACTAGAGAATGTAAATAAAGTCAAGATCATACGATTTATGGCACGTGGCTAATGGGTATTTACTCCTTATAAAACAAATCTGCCTGCCAAATATTGTTTTCTTGTACATGTTGCAACGCACATTTACAAAGGAACACAATACCTGATTCTACCTTACCAGATCAATTTCAAAAGTGTGGATATGAGGTCATCTAAATGGGATATGCAATATTTAAAATTGATATTACAACGAATTAAAACTAAAACAAAATTACACATTTGTTCAAAAACGAGTTTTTCTTTTCATAGTGTACATTGCAAACAGATTAAACATTTCAAAATTTAGTAAAAGCAAAATTCGTTATGGTTGGTACTGATACAGTATTTCATGATATGATTGGTAGAACTGAAGTATAATGTATTATTGTACATATTTCCATTTTCCCATCCCTATTTATCTTGTATTGCATGGAGACTACGGAATCAAAATTTTCAACACCAAAAATTTGATACAAAGCACTTGATTTTTGCTTCAAGCGTTCCAAACTGAAGAATTTGATTTCAAACGTGGTGGGGGTGTAAATTATGTCAAGTGGACATATACTCATTACAACGAACCAAAATATCAAATATTGTTAACAGACACTCCTCTATTCATTTTTACAGGTTTTGTCTGCTGAAAGACTACCAGTCTTACATTGAATGTCAACAGCGTGTAAATGACCTCTACCTGCAGCCAGTACAGTGGGCCCGCAAATGTCTGCTGAATATAGCTGCTTCAGGAAAATTCTCCAGCGATAGGACCATCGTAGAATATGCCAGAGATATATGGGATGTAGATCCTAGCGGACTAAAACTACCTGCACCTCACGAAAATCCAGGAACTGAACTATAGTTTTTTTCTAATTGTCAGTTAAAGCATGATATAAAAGAAAACAACTTACTTAAAATTGTATTATTTTCTAAGCTTATAATTAGTGGGCCAAAAACGAAAATCTTCTGAAAAACAACCTAACAATCAAACATCATGAGTAACACAACTGATGCAAGGAACTGCTTACCTATTCGGAGCACATTAGTTCACACCATGTTTTGTTCAGGGTTCATTTTGATTTATCTTATTTTTTCTGTGTAATTTTATGGATTTTTTCTTTTGACAATAGTCTTTTTTTTTCTTATGGTTTTTGATTGTCTCTTTGGTGTCATCTAACGTTTTGTGTTCAATTACTACTGTTATGTTTACATATTTTTAAGAGGCCATGTCAATAAGCATTGAGCTTCATGCTGTACAAACCTTGAATGTGCAAAAATTAGATTAAGTTTAAAATGTTCATAAATGATTTGCTGTGTCATTGAGAATATGTGAAAGATACAAATGTTCTTTTTATTTGTCAGTACGTCATGTATCTAAAGAAAAATGTTTCCTCATAGTTACTAGTTCCAAGAGCGTACCAAAATAAACAAAAATATACACATTTGCAGGCCACCTAGAGCAAAAGTGTGATTAGGAAATATTTGTTCGTTTCAAATACAAAGCAAGGCTACCGTTGCCAATTATATAAAACATTTTTATCAATGATGATGTTTTTGTAATATGCTGCTATGGCAATGGTAAAATGTAACTTAAAGGAATTTGAATTGGAAATGTCAAAGAAGAAGACCTAATTATATCATATGCAAACGGAAATCCGGACTAACAGTGATATAATGTATATTGTATTCTTAATATTAAAGTTCCATATGGTTAATTAAAAGAATAAAATTGGATAAGCATTCAAAAGATTTCTTTTTTGCTAATGGTATTAAAAGTGCCCGTCTTTTTTTTTTGTAAGTTTTTCTTAAAGCTGCCTGAAATGGTCTGTGAACTGAGATGACCTGATGTAATCCAGATGCTCATCTGCTAACACTATCATACGGTTTTGTTTCTAAATATTACAGTTTATATCCTGTGTATAGAAAATATGTCAATTATAAAGTATTTTGGGACAAATAAAAGGCGGATTCCGGGTGGAGCGGGGAGACATAGAGGGCATATAGCCTTTTTATTGATTTTTTTTTCTCTCAAAAACTCTTTTAAAAAATTTCTAAGATTTTGACCATTGTGGGCATTAACAATTCACCATTTTGACACCTCCCTTTTTTCATCCCTGGTTATGCCCCTATTAAGTCCTAAATGGTTTAAATGATTTTTATTATTTTTCGAAATATTCATTTTCCTTCATTCAAACCTTTTACATAAACAATCCAGATTATTTTTTTTATGTTTAACAGATGATAACATTACAGAATTGATCTCGTTAGAGTTCACTCTGATAATTGATTAAAATTCCTCCAATACGCAAACCACCCCTGCATACTATCAAAAAATGACACAAACGTCAGTAATTTGCCTGATTTTAACTACGGTAAAGCATCTTTAATTGAAAACCTGTTGACTCAATCAGACACATGTAAATGGCATTTTGCTGGATGTTGCTGAACCAGTATTGTCGTGAAAATTTCAAAGAAAATGACATTTTCACTTTTGGGGATTTTCATTAAAATCATCACATTCAGAATAAATTAAAGCATCAATAACATAGCGACTTTTATTTTGAAGTCATTCAAGTCAACATTAATTTACATATGTGGAACATTACAGGGGAAGATGCATTATGACCCTGTAATTTCAAGGGACTAATCACATTTTTACACTTTTAAAGAAATACTTTTAGAAACTTCTACACATTAGTTTAATCTTGTTGACACAGTTGGCTATCAAAGGGATGTTTTTGTACGTACCAAGTTTCTTTTGTCCTTTTGTTAACTTAGTTTTTTTTGTGTGTTTCGTGCCAATCAGACACATCTGGCCTATTTCAACTGATTTTTACAATGCATTTACACTATTGTTCAATACTAGTACGGTTGAGCGCTTGTAAACATATTTACCCCCGCCCTCATATCTTAAGTACCTATCCCAAATCAGGAGCCTGTCATTCAGTGGTATTCGTTGGTTGCTGTCTGTAATAATTATTTTTTCAGTTTATTGTTTTTGCCTAAATCAGGCATAGGTTTTCTCATTTTATTTGTTTTAAACATTTGTTCATGGCGTTGCCTTTTATACCTTGTTATAGAGTAAGGGTTTGCTCATTATTGAAGATTGTATGCCATGATGACCAATAGTAGCTTACATCTATGTCATTTTGGTATTTGGTGTATAGTTGTCTTATTGTCAATCATATACCAGAACTCCTTTTTTAAGATAGCATGACCCAAAGCAAGCCAAGAATTACACTTAAGACGACAAGGCCGAAATCGTTGGACTTATGCTCATTAGATCCTCTCTGTTTATTAATATAGATGACCAGCATTAATTGTTCCAAATTTTTTTGCTACTGAACTTAAAAAAAACACTTTCTGTGTGAATATTTTTTGACGGCGGTTGTGCCATTTATTATTTCTATAGATATCAGACATATTTGAGTCTGAGCAGTCAAGAGTGGGCCAAATTTTGTCATTTTACTAGTCTACTCTCAATTTACAACTGTACATATCCAACTATCCATGGAAAGATTATATATAAAACTTATGGTTCATGTGGACCCTTTGGCTAAAAAGGCTGTGTTTACACCACAAAATTTACTCCGAGTGCAGACAAACCTATGCATTTGGACAATTTTAATTTTTTTATATCTAGGCATGCTATGCCTTAAAAATTTTCCAGATGCACAGGTTTGTCTGCACTCGGAGTAAATTGTGTGGTGTATATGTAAATGCTCTTTTGTTCCGACGTTGGAAAGTTCCGGGCGGAAAGAACTAACTAGCCGAAAAGTTCCGGAGGAACTTATTAACTAGTTACTTTGTTCTTCCTCTGGTTTAAAAGTTCCACCGGAACAAAGTGACTAGTTGAAAAGTTCCAACGGAACTTTTCGGCTAGTTAGTTCTTTCCGCCCGGAACTTTCCAACGTCGGAACAAAAGAGCATTTACATATACACTATATTATATGTCTCTTAGGGACCGGTCAAAATTTCTCAATGCATGGGACCAGTGCAAATGAGCATGGGGCATGCACTTTTTTAAAGCCAAATTTCCATGGGACCTGAATTTTGTACAAGTTAAATGTGCATGGGACCTTCATTTTTTTTTTATTTATAATATTAGGGACCGTTTATACTTGTGAATGTCTATAAGAATCTTAAATAATTTGAAAAGAAAATGATAATCTCTATCATTGACAATCATCATTTACTGAAAACAATTATATAATTTGCTTATTTATCATAGAAGATCTCCAAATGAATTAAGATTTGGCATATTGTAAGAACAGTATATACATGACATAATGGCTCAATTTTATGAAAATCTCAAGTCATTTTAAAAAGTTGTAGAAATTCTCAAAGATGACTATTGGTAGCTAAATTTATTCCCAACTGGAATTTTCACCTTTTTATAAAGCATAAAATTTGACAGTAATAAATCTACATGAAAAACAAATTTTGCCATTGTAAGAACAATATAAAAAGGAGATAGTGATCAAGCTTTACGAAAATCTCAGATAGCTTGAAGCAGAACTTTCAAGAATTTTTTAAAGTCAACTAGAATATGGATTTCATCCCAACTGAAAGAAAAAAATTTCTTTTTCACATATAACTTTATACAATTGAGTGCAAAAAATATCTTTATGAAAATAAAATTTGCTACTTGCAAGAACATATTGAAGATAGCTTTCAAGTGTTATGGAAATGCCATTTGATATGAAAAAGTAATGGTCATTTTCAAAGATGGACTGTCGGAATAATTCTTAAACTAAGCTTATTTTCAAATTAGGATGTATTTATGTACACTTGAAATTGACGAAATAAATGTATGAAATAATTTTTTTTTCTTCATTAGTTTTGATCTTTCTACAATTTGTTATTCCAATTTTATCTGAACAATATCAGTCCCACATTAAACTAAAGAAGAGCCGTTGTTTCACTCCCCTGCGCCTATTCATCCCAGAAGGAAAACAAACACAGGATGTGCATGGTGCTATATTTGACTATTTAGGTTGATAACTCAAAAATCTTTTGTTGTGAGTTCATATTGTAGTTCCTTTATACAAATATCTACTAGTAAATGGTTATAAGTCTTTTGAATTTCAGGGTTGTTTGATTTGTTTTTTTTTTTATTAAAAAGGGGAGGGGCTGCACAAATGAGTGTTGTTGATGTGAATAGGGTGTTTTGTTTTGACACTTATTGGTGAAAACATTGTTTAAATAAGGTTATGAAATATATGAAACAGGATAGTATTTTAATCTAGAATTCTTTTGTTTGATTCTTATATATGATGTTTTGAAGAAATTTGATTTTTTTTTTAGATTTTTTTTTTTTTTGGGGAGTGGGGTTGGTGGTGGGTAGGGGAGGTGGAGGATGGTTCTAGGAACAAAGTCAATATTTTCTGTACTGTGGTCAGAAAATTGAATTTACATACATATATTCTATAAATTTATGACTGACAAGGAACACTGAATTAAAAGAATCCCCATTGATGATCAGCATGATCAGAAAACAATTTAAAGTCTGGTTTACTTTGTTCCATCAATGCTTCTAAATTAAGACCATGAGTAAGATTAAGCTTTTATATCCATATTAATAATTTGATATTCATTTAAATAAATTTTGAAAATGATTACACAGAGTGATTGATGCATTAAGTATCATGTATCAAGAAAGATGAAGTAACACAATGCATAATTAGAATCTTTTAGTGTAACAGGACGAGTAAAAAGACTACATATGGTTACTTGATTAAAACCATGTGGAATTACATGTACACAAATAAATATAAAATTCAGTAAAAATGAGAATGGACTGGCCCATCCCTCCTCCAGAGTCCGTAAAAGTACATGTACTGGTAATACAATCTGAATGCAGTATATTTCCAAATACCATGCAGGTCCAAATGTCTGTTATTGGAGATTTTCTTGTAATTTGATGACAAGTAAACACGAAAACAATCATATAATTAAAATTTGAAGTATATACATATTTCATTTAAAAAAAACATCATATATATTAAGTTTTGATATATATTATATATGTAAGTTTTCTGATTATTTAATAGCAGGTCAAGTTTTTTTTTTTTTGCAATAAACTAAACCTGGGCAAGAGCTTTTTTTATAATAAATATTAGAATGGCCAGAGAGCAAAAAGATTTGTAAAAATAACTAATTACCGTACAACAAAATTGGCGGGACATGAATATATAGGTAAACAAATCGCAAAAGAAAAACCTCAGATAATAACTTCAAAAAATTAAAAATAAAGAATGTCGGCATTATTTGAATGATGTATGCTTGTCTGGCACATTGGTTTGAAGGACTTGTACTGTATGAATTAACATGGGACACCAACTTATTTTGTTGCAAAATATAATGGGACAACACCTTTTCTTCACTTGCATTACCATGGGACTTCAAGTTTTTTTATAGTTCATTTTGGTTTTGCACCGGTCCCATGCGTTGAGAAATTTTGACCGGTCCCTTATATTATATTTGAACCTTTCAAAGGGAAACCAAGATACTGATTACAAAAGTCAAAAGGAACTTATCAACTAGCCACAAAGTTCCTCTTTGGCAAATAAGTCAAAACCGGAACTAACAAACTAGCCCAAAAGTTCCACTGACGGAACTTATCAACCAGTCACAAAGTTCCATTTGGAGAATTGCAAAGAACCACATGAGGAGGGGGGTATTCTTCCCCCTCTTGAGGGTACTATGAATACTAAATTTGCATGATAATGCAACTTATTCCGTTTTATGTGAGCTATGAAATACAACTTAAATTTTGTATATTTGTCCCCAAAGAAACCCCTTTCAGTGCGTTGGGTATTCTTGTAAATTAATGATTTGCTCTTATATACTGATACTCATTCTTCCCCCTCTTTCTACAAAAAGGACGAAATATGGTATATTCGGAACGATGTAACTTGTTGTTCTGTTCCAACAGAACTATTCAACTAGCTACATTGTTCCGGGACTTTTCAACTAGCTACTTTTTTCCGGAACTTTTCGACTGCACTCGGAATAAAACAACTAGTTGGAAAGTTCCATCGGAACGAAATAACTAGTTGAAAAGTTCCGCCGGAACAATGTAACTGACGGAACATAGTGGCTGTTACATTTACACAGCAGTTTTTGCCAAAGGGTCCACATGAACCTAATACATTGTTTTTTGTACTAGTATATATAATCAACTTTTATTTTTTACAATTAGGGACAGTTTTAAATACAAATAATTTTTGGTCCAATGTCTACATTCTTCTGTGATCTCCCTTGTCTGATGAATAAGCTAAAAAATAACCTTGACCTATGATTAAATATATTTGTGTAGAATACAATCTTTTCATTCAATTGTATTACTATTTATCGAAGTAACCTTGAAAGAACATTGATCAAAGTGGGAAGTAGACTGGCCAGTGGTTTTTCGTCCTAACAAATGTACAGTACTCACCACCACAATCAAGAAAATTCCAACAAACACACAATCACAATTTAGTCTTGTTAATTCTGAAAAGTACATTGGCATCAGGCTGCAAACTTATTTGAAATGGCCCCACATACAAACGCAATAAAGTGTTGGATTCTTGAAAAGAAATCTTAAAACATCTAGCGACATATTAAATAACATGCATACATGTACCTAATTGCTGCAGTACCACCATCAATCACTACTATTCAAGACCTTGTCAATCTCACCCATACACATTTAGACACTAATATAAGCTTCCAAATATAGAAATAAGGAGATGTTTTACGATTGCCAATGAGACAAATATCCACCAGAGTCCAAAATGCTTGGATGTGAGCAATAATAGGCAACTGTTCAGCCTTCAACAATGAGCAAACCTTTACCTTAAAGTCTGCTATAAAAGACCCTGACATGACAAAATGACAAAACAATAAACGAAAAACAAATGTGACAAAAGCAACCAATGACAACCACTTAATTAAAGGCTACTGACTTTGGACAGGAACATATATTATAGAATGTGGCAGGGTTAAATATGTTTGTGAGCACTCAACCCTCTCACTAACCCTGGGTGTAGTTTTATTTGGGTTTATTTGGCAACTAAGATGAAAGAGCCAAATTCAAACACACCAAAATAAAACAGTTAAGATATATATGTATGCAAGTATTCAAGAGTGAAATGAATCCCATTTGATGCTGGCAAAGCTACACTTATTGTCCTATTCCAATGTAATACTCATAGGCAACGACTAAAACTATCAACAGTGGAATTGACAGGAGCCATCATCTATTCAAATAGTGGCACTATATTTCATATAACATTAGATAAATGATGAATGATGAATGTAGCCACTGAGGACGTTAGTAAAGTAACACCAATATCTCAAGTTTCCACAGCATTTCCTGAGACAACTCATTGATCACGTCAAATAAGACAAATTATTGTAATAACTTTATTGACTGTTGTAAAATATTTTCTTCAATGGTCAGCAAATCCAGTGCAAGATTTTGATGTCGGGTCAGTCTGCTTTTGTCCTTTGATGGAAACTACAAAAAAACAATCACAATTAATATAAAATCTAGTGTAATATTTATTGTTGTTTCAGCATCATCCCTAAACCATTATCAAACCTTTAACTGATACAAGTAGTGCAATTATAATTGCTACTTCAGTACTGAGGTTTGGGGTAAGGTTATAATGGAAAACTTTTTTTTCAAATACAGAAGACATTTTTTTCAATTAACAAAGATGGGAATAAACATTGATCTGAAGAAACCTGACAACATAAATTATGATAATATTAACAGTACCAATTTTACTGCACCAGATGCGCATTTCAACAATATATATCACTTCAGTGAGGCTTGAGGCCAAAATTTGTTCAAAAGTTGAAGAGCTTATAAAAACCCACAAAGTGCACAATGTTAAAATGTTCTTTATGTGACACTAAAATAAATCATGGATTTTGATGGAAAGAGTGCCAAAAATAAAGAACAAATAAAAATAAATGTGGATAGTGTCCACATGTGGACACAGATGATACCTCCACTTGCATAGCATATAGTTATAAAGTGACATAACTGAAGAACGGTAAAAGTGACACTACCCAAATTTGAACTTGATCTGAGTTTTGTGGTAATAAGCATTGTGTGTAAGTCTCATAGCATTTGGTTGAGGCTAACTTAAGTAGAGAACAGAAACTAAAAATTCAGCAATTTTTCTATTTGTAAACACGCATAACTCTAGAACGGTTGAGTATAAGTTTTATAACATTTGGTTGAGACAAACTAAAGTTAGAGAAAGGAAACGAAAAATCAGCAATTTTTATGTTTATAAAGGGACATAACTAAGAATGGTAAACGTGTTCTCACCAAATTTCGAACTTAATCTGTATTATGTAGTAATAAGCATTGTGTATAAGTTTCATAACATTTGGTTGAGGCAAACTAAAGTTAGAAAACGGAAACAAAAAATTTGTACTTGATCTAAGTTTTGTGGTAATGAATATTGTGTTTAGGTTTCATAATGTTTAGTTGGGTCAAACTTAAGTTACAGAATGGAAACTAAAAATTTTGCAATCTTTCGATTAGAAAGGGGCATAACTCAATAATGGTTAAAGTGACACTACCCAAATTCAACTTGATCTGTGTTTTATCAGTGGAAGTCAAAATTAAACATTGCATTGTATAAAGCATTGATTGAAGTTGATTCAACTATAATCATGGACAAAGGAAGATAACTCAAATTTTAAAAATTACTTGATATTTAGAAGAAAATAAAAATTTGGAATTTTTCCATTTATAAAGGGCATAACTCTAGAACGGTTAAAGTGATGCACCAAAATTCAAACTTGATCTGTGTTTTGTGGTAATAAGCATTGTGTATAAGTTTCAGAACATTTGGTTTAGGCAAACTTAAGTAAGAGAACGGAAAATAATTTTGCAATTTTTCCATTTATGAAGGGGCATAACTCTAGAACCGTTAAAGTGTCGCTACCAAAATTCAAACTTGATCTGTGTTTTGTGGTAATAAGCATTGTGTATAGGTTTCATAACATTTGGTTGAGGCAAACTTAAGTTAGAGAACGGAAACTAAAATTTTTGCAATTTTTCCATTTATAAAGGGGCATAACTCTAGAACGGTGACGCCACCAAAATTCAAACTTGATCTGTGTTTTGTGGTAAAAAGCATTATGTATAAGTTTCATAACATAAGTTTCATAACAGTTTCTATGTTGTGTCATCTGTACTATTATTTGTCTGTTTGTCTTTTTATTTTTGGCCATGGCGTTTTTCGATCTATGAGTTTGACTGTCCCTCTGGTATCTTTCGTCCCTCTTTTACAGAACGGAAACTAAAAATTTTGCAATTTTTCGATTTATAAAGGGGCATAACTCAATAATGGTTAAAGTGACGCCACCAAAATTCAACTTGATCTGTGTTTTGTGGTAATGAGCATTGTGTATAAGTTTCATAACATTTGGTTGAGACAACTTAAGTTAGAGAATGGAAACTAAAAATTTTGCATTTTTTTCCCCCCATTTATAAAGGGGCATAACTCGAGAATGGTTAAAGTGACCCCACCAAAATTCAAACTTGATCATTGTGTTTTGTCGTAATAAACATTGTGTATAAGTTTCATAACATTTGGTAGAGGCAAACTTAAGTTGGAGAACGGAAACTAAAAATTTTGTAATTTTTTTCATTTATAAAGGGGCATAACTCTAGAACGGTTAGAGTGACGCTACCAAAATTCAAACTTGATCTGTATCATGTGGTAATAAGCATTGTGTATAAGTTTCATAACATTTGGTTGAGGCAAACTTTAGTTAGAGAACGGAAACTAAAAATTTTGGAATTTTTCCATTAATAAAGGGGCATAACTCTAGAACGGTTAATGTGACGCCACCAAAATTCAAACTTGATCTGTATTTTGTGGTAATAAGCATTATGTATAAGTTTCATAACATTTGTTTAGGCAAACTCAAGTTAGAGAATGGAAACCAATTTTGGGACGTATGGACGTACAGACGGACAAGGGTAAAACTTAAAAAGAAATGCACAGACAAACAGACACACCAATCCCTCAACATCCTGATTTACTTTAATTGTAGGATTTAAAAACATGGACAAATAAAATTCCTCTAAATATTGCACAGAGAACTAAAGACTAACCATCAATCCGATGAAAACAGTATCTCCCATTACTGATGTTGCATGCAGATCCTTGTAATCCAAACATTTATGTATCATTGTCATTTTGCTTAGTTTCTATTGTTACCTATTCTGACATCGGACTCGGACTTCTTTTAAACTGAGTTTTAATGTGCGTATTGCTCTGTGTTTTTTTAATCTACATTGGCTAAAGGTATAGGGGAGGGTTGAGATCTCACAAAACATGTTTAACCTGCCGCATTTTTGCGCCTGTCCCAAGTCAGGAGCCTCTGGCCTATGTTGGTCTTGTATGTTTTTTGATTTTGGTTCATTTATATGTTTTGGAGTTTAGTGTGACGTCCATTTTCACTGAACTAGCACACAATTTTATTTGGGGGCCAGCTGAGGACCACCTCCGGGTGCAGGATTTTCTCGCTGCATTGAAGACCCATTGGTGGCCTTCGGCTGTTGTCTGCTCTTTGGTCGGGTTGTTGTCTCTTTGACATATTCCCCATTTCCATTCTCAATTTTATTATAAAATAATTTTTTGGAACTGATTTTTATTGTGCATTCTTCTATACGTGTATCTTTTGTTACTCCACAGATCAAGGTAAAAAGAAGAGTTTGATTGTTCTAAAAACTATTTCACCTTCACCACTTTGATGGGAATTTCAATGAAAGGAAGATACTGAGTGGTTGTCTTTCTTTATATCTTTAAGTTTTGTGTCCTTTAAAGAATTTGAAAATAGGTTGTTGGTTATGAGGGTGGGGGAGGGGGAGGAGGGGGTTTCCAGGGTTTGAACCACCCTTTTTTCTTGACTATAATGCATTTGAATGGGGACATATAGTTGGAACCCCCCTTTATGCTGGGTTGGGAACCCCCCCTTTTAGGTGTAATACCACCATTGATTTTCTCCTATTAGTCTTTGTTAAATTTGCACTTTTCAAAAAATTGTGCAGAATTTATCTTTGTTTCAAATAAAGAAATACTAGGCATGAGTAAAGTTTTATCCTGTTCAGTACTATAGAAAAAATTTCACATAACATTTCATTGCATATAAGAAAATAACCATCACTGGAAGTTAACCAATCAAATTTCCCCACTTTTTTAACCTGTGTACAAGCTTTAGTAACCATGTAACCTCAAGTTTCCAAAATATTCTATAGAAACCCCAAATAAAAAAATAATGATACTTTGAAATACCCAAGATATATGTTTATGACCCAGAAATTTTTTACTGCAATGAAATGTAGGATCATTTACCTACAACTGTCAAATTCAAGGGAATATTTTTTTTCGACCTATTTTCGTATGCAACCGGATGTGACGTACTATGATTTGGTGGTATTACACCTTTAAAAATGGCTGGATCCACCCCTGATGCTTATTGTTTTAAATACAGTCAATATAAGTGGACAAAGGAAATTTAAACAAGTAAATATTGAGATTTTGATCACAGTATTGTGCTGGGCTTTCAAATAGGATGGAAATGCTCCTTTTTTCTTGAAAACAGTTTGGACTTTTTAACTAATATTAACAAAAAAATAAAAAACTGTTGACACAAAGATATATCTCGCCTTGTTGGCATAAAATTCAGAAAAAGACAATCTGATGAAGGCAACATTGCTTATTAAAAGTCTCTGGATAATGATCTAGTGTGCAGGGACTCGAAATGGTCGACAAATCAAGATTTACAGACAGTAATGTAACTTCATATTGTAAGTAGTTCCTATTGATCTAACTTAAGCTGAAAACTTAACATTGAAAATTGGTAAATAATTGAAATTCTCTGGACCATGTACTAAGTGGCATGGCTTCAAAACAGTCATCAAACTGATATGTACTGATAGTAATGCGACTTCATACAAAATATCATTGATCTATCACAAGTAGAACCTATCAAACTAACTTGAGCTTAAAACTTAACATTGAAAATTGGTAAATAATTGAAAGTCACTGGACCATGTACTAAGTGACATGGCCTCAAAACAGTCATCAAACTGATATGTAATGATAGTAATGCAACTTTATACAAAATATCATTGATCTGTCACAGGTAGTTCTTATCAAACTGACTTAATCAGAAAACTTAACATTGAAAATTGCTAATTAATTCAAAGTCACTGGACCATGACCTAGCGGGCAGGGCCCAGAAATAGTCGTCAAACTGATATGTACAGATAGTAATGCAACTTCATACAAAATATCATTGATCTATCGCAAGTAGATCCTATCAAACTAACTTAAGCAGAAAACTTAACATAGGATTTTCCTTATTAATTCAAAGTCACTGGACCATGACTTTGGGGACAGGGCCTCAAAATAATAATAATAATAATAATAATAATAATAATCTTTATTTCAAGAGGGTATGCTCAATTAGTACAAACACTATTCTCCCTTGAGGCCCTCACACTCCACTCACAATGCATCACACAATTTCTTCATAACAAAGATAAACATTAGAAAACATAATCAAAATTGATACATTATCATTTAAATAATTCCTGGATTTTCAAGTAAAAACTTAAAGCAGTTTGTTTTAAAAGTATTTATGTTTGACATGTGTCTTAGTGCTTCTGGTAGTTTATTCCATAAAGTTGGGCCAGAATATGAAAAAGATCTTCTAAATGTGTTTGTTCTTGCCTTTGGTATATTAAGTAATTGGGTAGTATTTGATCTAAGTTGCATTCCATTTTTATTTGTAACATAGGAGATTTTGTTAGACAAATATTCTGGGACAGATCCATATAAACATTTATGAACATATAAGGCCTTGTGGTAAATTACACGATCAGTAAATCGAAGCCATGATAACTTTTTAAACATTGTATTAGATGGGGTATCATAAGGAAGTTCAAGAATAATTCTAGCTGCTCGTTTTTGAAGTTTATCTAATCTATTTGTATTTTGGTCACTGGTGTTTCCCCAAATTGTACAACAGTAATCCAAAATAGGGAGAATATAACCATTAAAGTATAACTTTCGTGTTTCCAGAGGGAGGGATTTCTTTATCCTAGACAAAAGATTTAGCCTGGTACTGATTTTTGTGCACAAAGTGTCAATTTGGGCTGTCCACTCAAGATTTTCATCAATAAAAACCCCTAGGAGCTTTTCGCCATTAACATCTCTAATGTGGGAGTTACCAACAGTCAAATTAAGAACATGGTCTGTTTTTGCTAGTTTCTGTCTAGAACCAATAACCATAGATGTAGTTTTTGTTGGATTTATATACATCTTATTTCCCTTGCACCATTCTTCAATTCTGTCTAAATCATTTGTAATGCTGTCCTGGATGGTATTTAGACTACGACCTGTGCAGTGAATGGTAGTATCATCTGCATAGAGGTCTGCTTCAGATGAGGTTATATGAAGGGGCAAATCATTAATGAACAATAAAAATAGAAGGGGGCCTAATATGGAGCCCTGAGGTACTCCAGATTTTATTTCTAGTGCCTTTGACTTGATTGTCCCATTTTCAACTTGTTGGAATCTATGAGATAGATATGATTTAAACCAGTTACATGATAAATTTGAAATTTTGTAGCACTGCAGTTTTTGAAGAAGGATAATGTGATCTACCAGATCAAATGCTTTTTTAAAATCTAGGAAGATAATACCTATAATTTCTCCATCATCAATGGCTTTCAACCACTGATCAATAAGTTTTAGTAAAGCAGTGTGACAAGAGTGGTGGCTTCTAAATCCAGACTGACTTGCATGAAGGAGCTTATATTTTAATAGGTATCGGTATAGGTGTTTGCAGACATGCTTTTCAAAAATCTTTGAAAGAGTAGGCAAAATAGATATTGGTCTATAGTTGTCGACAGTATCTTTAGGACCCTTTTTATGACTTGGCATGACACGGGCATTTTTAAGCTCAGAAGGAAATATACCAGCAGTGATACTCCTATTTATAATATAAGCTATTGACGGTGAAATAACTTCTGATGATAGTTTAAGTATGCGAGGACTGATCTGATCAATGCCTGTAGCTTTTGCAACATTTAAATTGCTAAGGCAGTCCTTAACTTCAGCAACTGTAATCAAGGGGATGTAAAACCAAGTATCTTGAGGTACTTTTGCTGCTACCTCCTCATAAATCTTATTACTATCAAATTTGTATGATTTAGATGTTGATAGGCTATCTTTCGGGGCAATATTTATAAAATGTTTGTTAAAAGCATCAACTATATGCTGAGTTTCTGTGATAACACCATTGTGTATCTTAAGTTGTGATGGAAAAGGAGAACTTTTAGTTTGGTTGAGCCCCTTGACATATTTCCATAATTCTTTTGGATTTTTAGCCTGTTCAATAGATGTTTTATAAAAATTGTTTTTTGCATCATCTATAAGTGATGTGCTTTTGTTCCTCCAGAACCTGTATCTGTCTAGATCATGCTTTTTATGGTAATAATCCCTGTTTTGTCTGGCAGTTAATATTTCAGGGGTTAACCATTCTGGCCTTTGGACATTTTTGACTCGCTTTGTTTTTGTTGGATCATGCTTATTTAAAACATTATTGAAAAGAGAATACCAGATATTTAAAGCTTTGTCTGTGTCATGTTCTTCTTTCACAGTATTAAATGGTTTACATTGAAGTTCTTTTATAAAATTCTCTTCATTAAACTTTTTAAAACATCTATAAGTTATGATCTTGTGGCTAGAATCAGGTATTTCTTTAACATTTGTTTTTCTTGTAAGGCATACTGGGTAATGGTCACTTAATGCCAAATAAGGTACATATGTTTCAATTATATTATCGGACTTATTTGTATATATATGGTCAATGATCTTTTTACTTTTATCTGTTACTCTTGTTGGATTATCAATAAGTTGTGTAAGACCATAGCACTGTATCATATGGGACCATTTGTTGTTACTACATCCTTGAGCATAGTCAATATTTATATCACCCATAATAATAATTTCTAAATCTAAGCTTGATGCTTTACTTATTTCTAATTCAAAAGCATCTATCCAGTCTACTTTCATATCAGGTGGTCTGTAAACTGAACACAAAAGAATAGGTTTTGTGGATGGAAAATTGATCTGAAGCCAAATTGATTCAACATTACCAATCTCTAAGTCTTCTTTCCTTCCATATGCCATTAGTCTTCAAACTGATCTGTACTGATAGTATTGCAACTTCTTATTAAACATAAATAATCTATCACAAGAAGTTCCTATCAAACTAACTCAAGTAGAAAACTTAACAATTGTTAATGCCGTCGCCGGAAAAGCAATCCCTATGTCTCGCTTTCTGCCACTTTGTTCGCAGGCGAGACAAAAATTGTATTTTGAAATATGTTGATACAGTAGTAAGTTACTGTCATTTAACCTTATTTGACATGAAGGCTTTTAAAATCAAAATGTCTACATCTGTTAATGTTTCTTTAAGGTTTGGATGTTACATCAAATAAGCTTATATGTTTTAACATAAATCAGGTGACTAATTACCTGTCCATTAAGGGAAATCAAAATATGTTGTCTGTGCTACAGGGAAGTAACTCACTTGGTTTTTTTGTGCTTTGTTATTAAATCCCTTTCTTTGCATTGGACCACAAAGTTTTTAAATAGCAGGCTAAATGATATTTTTTGCTTTTTTACAAGACCACATTGGTCTAAAGGACTGAGCAAAATTTACAGTCTGTTTGCTATCCATGTTTTTCTATTCTTTTTTTATAAACTAAGTTGAACTTATTCTTTAAATCAGAATTTAAGTTTAGAGTTAGGAATAGTAGAATAAAGGGATTTGCAACAATTTAAAACCTAAAATGATTCTTCACCCCTCCCCCTAATCCACCTGGTCCGTCCAAAGTAAGGAAATTCATCAGTGTTTGTTTCAAGTTTTATTACAAAAAAGATTACTGGATTAAAGTTGTTTTAAATATTTATTTTGCCTAATAAACTGTTTTGTGACTGAGTCTTTTATGACAAAAATTATTTCAACAAAAAGACAGCAGAGGGGTTGAAGGACCTTTTTCATGATGCATTCCTTTATTTTTGCGGGAATTAGGGATTTGGCCTTTATTTTCACAGGAATTTGGGATTGACACCTATAGGGACTCTGGAATTAATTATTAATTTTTAAGGATCCAAGAAAGAATACTTGATGTTTTTCAGGAATCCAGGATGACACCCCCTCCTACCGTCCCTCAATGCAGACTTCCTTCTTAAATTTTGTTTAGAATGCAGAAAACATCTTCAGTCTAATAATGACAACATTTATTATTTATGTTCACATGAATAATTTGTTTCATACCTTGACAAACACACTTCTTATTTCAAGCAGTTCTTGTTGAAGAATAATCTGACTCATGTTTTTAACTGCTTTTTGGTTTGTTACTGATATGGTATCATCTTTAAATATTAATTTCCAACTCTTTCTGAAAACAACAAAGAAAATGTTTGCATTGTTTTGAACATATGTGCACAGAACTATATAATCTATTGTCACCAAAAACATCTTTAACATATAACATTCTTTTGATTTAAGATTATGAAGGCATTTGAACCATACTGCATATTGTTTCTGAAATTTGTAAAATAAATTAGAGAAACAATCATTTGGACATTATGGTATAAATGCCATCAGGTTTTGAAGATAATACCTCCATTTTGTTTATCGATTTTTATTCTATTTATAACAGAGCTTTTAAAGTTATTATCATGATTGATTATAGAAAAACTAATGCAATAACTTGAATATAGAAAAAATATTCAACAATTGACTGAATGACACATTAATTCACAAATGTGTGTATGAGTTAATTATCAGTGTTTTTCCTGTCACATTAGTTGATTTTTTTTTTCATATTTGAATTCTTGGATTAGTTATTCTTTCAACTTTTTCAAGAAACTATATCTTTTTCTATGCATTCTTAACTTGTTTTGATTCAACATCATCAATATTTGATGTCAGATGAGTGAATTTGTCAGATTTATTTCACATGTGAAATTATTGGATTTTATTTCACTTCACTAGAAAATCACAGTATGTCCAACCAATGTTATATATTCCTTTATTATTATTTTTTTATTAATTTGATTACCCTGTATATTGAAATATACTGATTTTTATTTTTCAGAAAAAGTCTGTTATGTAAAATTTTAATATTGCTTCCTTTTAGCACATAAGATGCAGTTACACGGGAGGTAATAACATTGCTAACATAAAATGCTATTTTTTAACCATTAGCTTGAACACGAGAACATGGACCCCTATTTTTTAATTGAAAGTTGGCCTAATTATGTAGGAAAATTATTTGTATCAAGTTTTAAATAAAAATCAGAGATAATTTTCTTAAAAATTAGATGAATATCCCCCAAAATACTGTTTTTTTTCTAAACTCATACAATTTAATAAATTTGAATGATTTCCAAGGAATTGTTGAACAAATTAAGAGCATACTTAAATATCTTCTTTTCTGCACAAATTATTTTTAAAATCAGCTCATGAAAATATATTTGTTATTGCATTTTTGAATTGATCTAGTAAATGAGCGTGTATGCAAATTTTTGTAGAAATGTCACAGTATGATAAAAACTGTTAGTATTGTATGCACTTAAAACATTTGTATGGAATGACAGAGTTAAGTACTTACTAAACCTGAAATTGTAGCTGTTCAGATAATCAATGTATTTGTTTTGTACTTTTTTAACATTTGTCCTTCATTTCTGTTTAATAATTACATTTTTTTTACTAAGAACAAATAACAATGTCAAACTGTAGACCTTTTACTTTTTTTTATAAAATTTAGCAAATTAATTATTTCTACATTGATCAAACAGAATAGAAATAACCTTGCTGTTTTTCAGAAGAAAATCCAAAATATCACTAATGCAAGTATCTGTTTTTCAACCATGCAAACGCACTGCCAGACAACACATTATCTTAATGTGATTTTTTTTATTTACTTTTTCAAGTCCTGAACAAGCTATCTGTAATAAGAGTACTGATAAACACACAATGAGAGAAGCAGCTATTCATTAAATTGGTACTTTTAATTCACCTTAAAAGTTAAAACTGTTTAAGAAAAGAAAGAAAATTGTGCTATCACCCCATTGCCAAAATACACAATTGTCTTCTATAAAAACAACTTGCCAAACCAACATAATAGTAAAGGAAATTTAAATTTTAGAAATATGAATAAAGAACAAAATGGGCCATCATCAACATCAATGAGGCAAAAACTCAAAACTTCAACCAAAATTAAAAGACATCTATTTTTTTACTACAGCTTTCAGTATTGTAAAGTTTAATATTGAATCATGGTGTTGTAGATTCACAAGTAAAGTTTAATATTGAATCATGGTGTTGTAGATTCACAAGTAAACTTTAATATAGTTATTGAAATCATGATGATGTAGATTCACAAGTGAAGTTTAATATAATTATTGAATCATGATGATGTAGATTCACAAGTGAAGTTTAATATAATTATTGAATCATGATGATGTAGATTCACAAGTGAAGTTTAATATAATTATTGAATCATGATGATGTAGATTCACAAAAAGTTTTATATTGAATCATGGTGTTGTAGATTCACAAGTAAAGTTTAATATTGAATCATGGTGTTGTAGATTCACAAGTAAAGTTTAATATTGAATCATGGTGTTGTAGATTCACAAGTAAAGTTTAATATTGAATCATGGTGTTGTAGATTCACAAGTAAAGTTTAATATTGAATCATGGTGTTGTAGATTCACAAGTAAAGTTTAATATTGAATCATGGTGTTGTAGATTCACAAGTAAAGTTTAATATTGAATCATGGTGTTGTAGATTCACAAGTAAAGTTTAATATTGAATCATGGTGTTGTAGATTCACAAGTATTTGTGGGGTACTAATTTTTGTAGATTTTGTAGGTATTAGTGGACCATGGATTAAGTGATCAACAAAATACACATTTCCTATAGATATTTATGCAGACTTAGTTAAAGCCCTAAAATCAACTATCTATAGATTACATCTTTTCCCAATCCACAAAAATTTGTATCCACGAATATAAATGAATCCATGGACCTGCATGGTCACCAATTTCACAATTCTTTATGATTGAGGAAAATACAACTAAAACTTGTAAAAATTGTTTTCTTGACAGCAATTATTAACAACATATATATAAATGAACTTACAATTCAGTAAAATCCATCGCTAATATCTTTAAAACAGCATGTATACTCCATGACATACCCTCCTTACTACAAACTAATTTTCTGTAAATGTAAACAGAAATGAGAGTGTTACTGTTCATCAAATTTATATTGCTTCACAAGATGAAAGAAACTTAGTGTCAGCAACATTCTGAAAAGGAGGCATAACTTACACTAAAGCTGCAAACAAAATAGTAGAATAAGGCAAAGAACAAAAGCTCCAAATAGGATGTATATAATTTCTCCCCATTTGAGCTAACTTTTTTCTGCCATCTTCTAGTCAAGAGTTTTTTTTAATTAAGAATCATGTTATTTGATCCTTTTAAAGGCCATTAATGAAACGAATTGAATTGTTAGACAAAACAGGTTGAATGAAAAGTCGAAGTCTCATTTATCTATTTTGAAGAAATGACATCTTTATATCCTTTTCACCTCCTTCATTTGGGTCTCTTGCTTAAAGCATAAATTACTCAATTGATTTAACTGTATTGCAAAACATGTTTAAAAATTGTCCTTTTCAGGAGTTGATTGACAATTTGTGTAAACATGTCTGTGAGCCCTCAACCCTATATCTAACCTGGAACCATGGTAGATCTCATTTTTGGTGAAAAAAATTCTAACTATCTACTGTATAAAATTTTCAAAACAATTGCAAAAAATGCTAAAATTGGTTAAAAATCAATAAGAGGCAATAACTCCTTGAAAAAGTCATCTGACCATTTGGTTATTTACAGTTACTGGAATAGCAAAATTTTGCAAAAGTGTTATTAAAACAATTACTAAAACGCATATCCAAATTATAAAAAGTCTAAAATAAACAATTTACGATGCATAGACTCAATATTACATATCAGCATTTCGTGTGTATTTTAGTCTAGACGCCATCTAATTAACCATTGAGGTGACCTCCGAAGACTGCCGACAGTCATATAACCCAATATAAACATAAACATAGATTTAAATAGATTGCGCCATTGGATTTTTCTAGGTCTGTTTGATTTCATATCATAGGTTAAAAAAATATGTTAATAATCGTTTCTACCTGTAAATGAATGAGCTTTTCTGGATCAAACCAGTGAACCAAATGGTTTACCCTTGTTTCACTTTCAATGTTTACATTCTTTTCCATTTAATAACTGAACACGCCTAGTTCATGCGTAACCCATCTCTAGCTATAAGGATCAGTTTAAGTTCACATGAATACGGATTCAATGAGGTCGAATTATTCACTTGCAAGTAAATAATTCATTAGCCATGTTTCTTTGCTTAATTTGACAAAACAAAACCAAACTGGCTGTTAAAAGCTAATTATTATTTCACTATTTCACTTTCATTAATGGTTGAACAAAAAAAATCATATTTTTTTTTTCTATATCTCGTAGCTAATGCCCCTTTAAGATAACTGACAATTACTAGCATTTTACCCTTATGTTCTATGTTTAGCCATGATGAACATAATGATTAATTCGCTGGAACAAAAACAAATCTGTATACCAAATACTTTAAGGTAAATTCAGCAAAGTTTAGTTGAAATTGGTCCTGTGGTTTTAGAAGAATATATTTTTTTAAGTTATCGATGGTACAAAATGGACGGCAACAACAGACACCTGGTGATGGCAATAGATCATATGGCCCTACTCAGGCAACTAAAAAAAATCATACAATACAAACCTGTTAATGGCATTCTCTTCTATAACTCTTTTCTTTTTATCAATATACTGTAAATTTAGATTCTGTGCTACTTTTACAATTTCATCTGGAATGTGAAATTAAAATATTACACTAACAATCTATTAATAATTTATGCCAGTGAAAGAAAGTCATATATAAACTCTTGTGAAAAGTATTCTACGAGATCACAAGACAGTGAACTATTAGGGAAGATATTTTCTAAGCTGAAAGACGCATATCTCTTGGACTGGTGCATCCTACCAACATGCACAATTGTGTATTACGATCAAACAATATACAAAATTTCGTGGATGCAATAAAACATGTAGGAAGACTTGCAATGGCAAGGTTAGTTCTGCAGATAATCAAAATTTCTGAGGGGAAAGGGCATATTCTGGATAAACTAAACAGAATAAAAATTCCTTCACATGGTCATGTTTGCATACTATAATCTTTTATTCTACAAATTTGAAGTGAATCAAACGAAGGATAAAGAAGTAGGTCCAGACAGACAGACATGCTGATTCCTATAAAAAATGTGTTTGCAGGGGGTATAATAAGTACCGGTAGGTCTTATTTAACAAAATGTTCTTATGGTCAACTTAAGGTAGTTCAAAAACTCATCTAGTAATCAACTGAATATGTGTTGTCCTTGCATCTGCAAACCATCCGGTAATCATGGTAATCATCCATCAACTTGAACTGGAGATATTTTTCTAGTTTTTTTCTACATTTTAAATAATAGCAACTGTTAAGGTCTTTTATTGTAATCCATGTTTGATTTCAAAATCTGAGAAGAAAATGGGGATGTCCACATTTTAATACCTTAGCAGAAAATAAAGATCGTAATCATAAACAAATGTGTAAAAACACTGTGTCTCTCCTGTGATTGCTGCTGTCAGTGTAAATTGTAATGTTGACACTCAGGAAAATACACAGAAAGAAATAGAAATTAACTTTTTCTTCAAATGCTGTTTCTTGATCTTGATCTTGAAGAATCTTATTTCAAAGTTTCAAAACATTCTATGGAGGTTTAACACAGTTATTGGTGTCTAAAAATGTAATCCCAGACTACATGCAAATGTTAATTGCAAAAGATCAGCAAATCACAGACTGAACTTTTATGCTGACGACATCGAAGGAATGTAAGATTGCTGCCTGGCTTCTGCGACAAATGTTGTAGCCTCGACAATAAACACAGGAGTCAATTGAATTACAAAATTAATGATAGTGTAGATTTACTTATTTTTGTGGTCACAAAATTTTGATGATTGAGGAAAACATAAATTTTGTGGATACCTGCAGGTTTTGTGTTTTTTTTTTTCCAAATTCTGCATTCATTGTTTAAGCCTATGGGACAGTTATACTATAATTTGTTTACACTAAAATTTGTGGTTAACTTTTTATCAAAATATTCATGAAAATAAGTAGCCCACAAATAAAAATGAATCCCTAGTACAAAAGTGTCAGAGTTACTCACCATAATCTATTTCATAAACATCATGTGGATTATCAGGGAGAATGAATCCATACTCCATTAAAAGATGTGTATTACTATGTGCTCCATACGATATAAATACTTGATCATATTTTCTAAATGAATTATAGGTTTTTATTTCAAAGCAATTATTATTCATATTAAATGCAGCTTCAACCTGAAACATTTGAAAGAATAGTGATTAATAGTTAGAATTTTATACACAATAATTGTTTTGTTTGATGTTCAAATCTGCACTACTGGTATCTAACACTCAGTCACAATTCATAGAAGTACCACAAAATTAGAATTTTATGTGCAACACTACATCATCATTAAACTTTACAGAATGCCAGATGGATATATGGCAGTTCAAGTCCTTTTCAATTTAGACAAAGGAAATAATTCTACATATTTTTCATTTCTTTAACGTAATGCTTATTTATCAGTTCTTAACTTCTCATTCCTATATATGGAAATCACAGAAGGTTAAAATGTGATGAAATATATTTTTATCTGTGAAAAATAAAATAACAAAAATACCAAACTCCAAGAAATTTTCAAATCGGAAAGTCCCTTATCAAATGGCAAAATCAAAAGCTCAAACACATCAAATGAATTGAAAACAACTGTCCTGAGTGTAACCTTCTTGACAAGTGCATTAAGATCTATCGACCCAAATTCCAAAAGATAACAAACCTTGGACAGTAAAGGCTCTAAATTACTTTTAAAATCATACACAGTAAGTTTTGAATAAAACATGTATCTACATTTTCATTATAATGTACATGTATTGATGCTTGCCCTTGGTACATGTGGTAGGCTGGACCGTTCATATAATTTGAATCTTCATTGAAATTAGCATGCATTGTAGTGTATGTACGTAGAATATCATTTATTATGTTTTTAAAAATAAACAGTTCTAACTCTTTTAAAGCTTTTATTCTTACTTTTCAGTCCCTTCTGGTTTTCTAGCTCATATTGCATTTATACATTTTGATATTTTGTGCATTCCTTATGCAGCCTTCAAAGTTATTCTAGAAAAAAACATTTGTGTGTGTGAAGCATGAAACTAAATATGTGTCCTAAGTCAGGAATCTGATGTTCAGTAGTTGTCGTTTGTTGATGTGGTTCATAAGTGTTTCTCATTTCTCGTTTTTTATATAGATTAGACCGTTGGTTTTCCCGTTTGAATGGTTTGACACTAGTAATTTTTGGAGCCCTTTATAGCTTACTGTTCGGTGTGAGCTAAGGCTCCGTGTTGAAGACCGTACTTGGACCTATAATGGTTTACTTTTATAAATTTTGACTTGGATGGAGAGTTGTCTCATTGGCACTCATACCACATCTTCTTATATCTATGTATATTTTAATTACTAGCAGTAATGATGTTATGAATAATAATCCAAATGTAGGATATATTGACAGCTGATCATGACTACATCAGCTTTATCTTGTTTGATAAATTACAAAACAAAATAAACAGCTGCGCCATGAGCGCATGATACGCCCGTCACTTTTTCAAAGAATAAAGTTCAATAACTTCTCAATGTCACATCAGAAATTCATGAAAAACTAAAGGGAGGTTATCTCAATACATGTAGATATAAACCAGTCACCAAAGTTTCATGATAACTGCTCAAAGCATTGACCGAAAACTGAAAAATACCCCCTTTTTTATGAATACAATCACATAACTCCGAAACGTAAAATCTAAAATTTATAAAAATTCAAAGGGAGCTTACGTCAATGGAAATAAACAATTCAATAAAGTTTCATGAAAACTGCTGAAAGCATTTTTGAGTTATTGTCCGAAAACTGGAAAACTCCCCTTTTTTTAATGAATAAAACCCCATAACCCGGAAACGTAAAATCTAAAATGTATAAAAATCGAAAGGGAACTCATGGCAATAGATATAAACAATTCACCAAAGTTTCTTGCAAATTGGTGAAAGTGTTTTTGAGTTATTGTCAGAAAACTGGAAAATCCCCTTTTTTTAATAAAAAAAACCCCAAAACTTAAAATCTAAAATTTATAAAAAATGAAAGGGAGCTATATAGCTAACGTCAATAGATATAAACAATTCACCAAAGTTTCATGCGAATTGGTTCAAGCGTTTTTGAGTTATTGTCCGACATGTTGACGACGTACGGACGGACAACGGTATACCATAATACGTCCCGTAAACAGGCGTATAAAAATGTATACTTTTTAAAATTAAAATCATCTTACCTCTGCTGTTGTTGAGTGGTTTAATAAATCTAAGAAAGGTGCAAGCGCTATGTTTTTATTTGTATCAGTGATGTATGGAGAACTGTCACAGTCATAATATATCGATCTAGAGTTTATACAGTACCACGCCCATCTGAATTCATTAAAGGTTATCGTGACTTCTTTACTACTTGACAAAAATAAAATGATTTCATCATAAAATGTCTGCAAATCGTTCAATGCAGCAAATGTCTTTTTGTACACATTTTTAGATAACAGACAAAGATCACTAGATTTCCAAAAAGCTGGAGTGTCAAATGTCTCTGGTAATACTTTTATGTACCTCCACCAAACTGATTCTTCCTGTTTTTCACTTTCAGTGATGAGAAAAATACTCATTGCTTGTTGTAGATTTAACTTCAAATGGGATCTGAAACAAAATGATACAGGTAAATCTTACTGAGTGACAGAAACAAAATGATACAGGTAAATCTTACTGAGTGACAGAAACAAAATGATACAGGTAAATCTTACTGAGTGACAGGAACAAAATGATACAGGTAAATCTTACCGAGTGACAGGAACAAAATGATACAGGTAAATCTTACTGAGTGACAGGAACAAAATGATACAGGTAAATCTTACTGAGTGACAGAAACAAAATGATACAGGTTAATCTTACTGAGTGACAGGAACAAAATGATACAGGTAAATCTTACTGAGTGACAGGAACAAAATGATACAGGTAAATCTTACTGAGTGACAGGAACAAAATACATGAGTGATTTAAATCTTTCAAATTCTTGATGTTGAAACTAGAATATTTTTCAAAGGCATAATCAGTGTCTCTTTTTTATTTTTTAAGTTAGTGGTCATTCTGTTGATAGCTGGGCTGTTCCTTTTACTTTTATGACAAATGGTCTAGATATGTCAACGGGAAGTTTGTGCCTGGGAAGAAATTGGTTCAAACCCACCACATATTGTGCCTGCTCCATGCCAGGTTATCTGCTCCGTGTGTTGTTCCTTGTTGTTTGTCTTTTTTAGTAACTGATTTACTTTGACAAAATCTTTAGATGTAAAATAAATGTATAATACTAATTTCAAAGTGCACAAGTACTGAGATGGAGGGTTGATATATATAAAAAAAAAAGTAAACCCTGTTACATGATCATGTGCCGGTCCAAAGTAAAAGACTCTGTACATGTAGGTAGTTGACTTTCATCACATGCAGGTATTTTAACATGTTTAAAGACCTTTCTGCTTTGTCATTCATATATTTAGTTTGATGGCAATTCTTTGATTGGCTCTTAAAAAATTGTACAACTTGTCTAGGCTTGGAATAACTTAAAGCTTGAAATGTGGAACAGACACATGTCTTTTTTTGGAAGACCATATGTTGACCTCTAGATATCTCTTTTTGTTGTTGTGTCATTATGTTTCTGTCTTACATTCATATACTTGCATCTCCTATTGTTTATAATTAAATTAAATACATACCTTTTTAATAAAAACCCAACTTCACTTTTCAATACTGTATCCATGGTAATAAGGAATGATTTGGGAATAGCAATGATAACATCTCCTGGATATATAGGCCTCTTTGTCATTAATCCTCTACCAGTGTCTGAAAAAAAAAACGTTACTATGACAGTTCCAGACTTCCAGTCATAATTTACATATTGATCTCATTGTAATGTACAGAAATAACACAAGCTTTTAGACTACTACAGAGCAACATATTTGTTAAACAATATTCAGACAAATAATTCAAATGTACTGTTAACAATTTTGTAAACATACAGACTGAATGACAAAAAGTGATGTTATCTGAATGCCTTCACTGCTAAAATATGAGAGAGACACCTAAAGCATACATGTGGAAACTTTCTTCACACAGCACAAACGAAAATGTTGTCCATATGATAGGGAAAGAGGATCCATTTTGTAATCATAACACTATATCATATCATGTCTTTGTTGTAACTAACTGGTTTGCCCTCATTAAATAAAGATTTTTTCATTATCATTATCAATATAGATATACTATAATCAATATCTAATATAAAAATAAGGAGATGTGGTATAATTGCCAATGAGACAACTATCCACCAAAATTCAAATGAAGTAGATGTAAGCAATGATAGGCAACTGTACAGCCTTCAACAATGAGAAGGCCATGACATGAAAAGTATGAAACAATTCAGAATGAGTGAACATACAAAATTAAGATAACTTTTCAAACAGTATCTCTGATGGGGTATCAAAGTAGTTCAAGAATAATTCCTTCTGCCCTTTTTTGAAGTGTATCTATCCACTAGTATTTTGATCAATATATTTCCCCAAATTGTACAATAATAATCCAAAATAGGGAGAATGTATCCATTAAAGTAAAATTTCTGAGTGAGAAATTTACAAGTAAAGCCATCATGGTTACCATTTATTTTATTACCAACATGGTAATATCAGACATTGTCAGAGTATGTTTATGATGTTCCAGGATGTATTGTTCAAAAAATGTTGTTACAAATAATAAAATGTCTGTAAACACATACAATTCAACTAACTTTGAAGAAAATTACACTGACAAAAATTTACAGCACAGATGAAGAACAAATTAATATTACACACTATAGGGTTCCTATTTGGCAAATTTGTGTTGTGTTTAGTGGTCAAATATGTTCAATAAGGACCTTAAGTGTAAGTATTCCAAGACAAGTCAACTTTGTCCTTTGTTCATGTTGTTTACTTTTACAATTGTCTTATGAATTAAAATTCAGTTACATGTAGCCATCCATTAATCTACACTTTACACAAGTATTCCCCATTCCAAACTAAAAGACAAATTGAAAGAGTTGGTATAACTCTGTTTCATTAAAAAGAATGGCGAACGTAGACCTATAAAAGTATCTTGTCTTGGGGAGGGATAAATCCTACTTTGTAAAGAATCACTCTGATTCAAACAAAAAATTCTCTGAAACTGACATTTTCAAGATGCTTGATTTCTTGATTGACAACATATTTGTTACGTTTTGAGGACATGTTTTTCAACAGACTGTCGGAATTCCAATGGGAACCAATTGTGCCCCTCTTCTTGCCGTCTTGTTTCTTTATTATTATGAGGCTGACTTCATACAGGAACTTCTTAGGAAGAAAGATAAGAAGCTAGCAATATTCTTTAACTTTACGTTCCGCTATATAGATGATGTTCTCTCACTAAATAATACAAAATTTGGTCACTATTTGGAACCAATCTATCCCATCGAACTAAAGATAAAGGATACTACAGATAAAGTTAAGTCTGCCTCATATCTTGACTTACATCTAGAAATTGACAATGAGGGTCAGTTGAAAACAAAACTTTACGACAAAAGAGATGATTTCAGCTTCCCAATTGTGAACTTTCCATTTCTATGTAGCAACATTCCAGCAGCGCCTGCATACAGAGTATATATCTCCCAATTGATACGATATTCCTGGGCTTGTATTCCCTATCATGATTTCCTTGATTGAGTATTAATGCTCACAAGGAAGCTATTAAACCAAGAGTTCCAAATGGTGAAGTTGAAATCATCCCTTCGTAAATTTTATTGACGCCATCACAAGTTGGTTAACCGTTTCACAGATGATATCGGATATGTTCCTTATGTCGTAACTACAATACCCTTCCCTTTTCAGGAATGTGACCTACCGAATTAGACTATTTACCGGATTTGTAATAACATAAGCAACACGACGGGTGCCACATGTGGAGCAGGATCTGCTTACCCTTCCGTAGCACCTGAGATCACCCCCAGTTTTTGGTGGGGTTCGTGTTGCTTAGTCTTTAGTTTTCTATATTGTGTCATCTGTACTATTATTTGTCTGTTTGTCTTTTTATTTTTGGCCATGGCGTTGTCAGTTTGTTTTCGATCTATGAGTTTGACTGTCCCTCTGGTATCTTTCGTCCCTCTTTTACAGCAAAAGAAATCAAAGAAGCAAAGGTTATCATTTTAACATTGCATGCAACTTATATGGATGACGAGATGTCCTCTCTCCTAATAAAGAATAATTTTCAATCTATAATTGAATACCACATACAATCAATGGAGATTTAATAACCAACAGAGGATATTTGCCATTTTTGGGGAGTACTTTATATGTACATGATGTATGTCAGGCTCCTTTGCAAATAAATGAACCCCTACAACAAATTTAGATGAAGAAGTGCCTCTTTGGTTGTAGGGGTGTTTACCTGTACAATGTAAACATGTGCAGTCTGGTTGGGAATGGTCATTCTGATCCTAAGGCAGACTTATGAAGCCTTCGAGAATACAACATTGAACAAATAAATCTTGCACAGGACCCGAGCAATAATTAAGTCTTTTTTAGGGGAATATCCTTAGAACATGTTGATTCAATGATTTATTTAAATCCATGATATTATATAATTTCAATCTAAATACTTTTTAATAGGATAAATTTAAACTAAAAATAAAACTAACAGGGGGCATATGCTGTTAAACATGTTCACTATTCAGCCCCATTCTACCATTTATTCAGACGTCACACGCTACATATACCCTGATATACCCTGTCTTTTGTTTTTGTTTTTGTCCACACTTTAACATGTCATATGCTAATTCTAGGATATGTATAGTAAGAGATACAAATCCTTGGATAATTCAAATGATGTCAGATGATGACATGGATGATGTTATATTGTCAATATAATTTTCCCCAATTGTGATTTTTTTTTTGTACGTATAACTGCAGACGAACTTAAAATATGTGAGCTTGGTAGATTCCCTTTATATTTTTCAGTTGTATTATCAATGCTGAAATATTGGTTTAGAATAAAAAATATGATACCTATATGTGTAACAAAAACATGTTTAAATAATAATATTGAATGCTGGTATTCATCCATACATTACATTTTCAAAAAGCTGAATATTCATAATTTGGAGGTAAAGCTCAACTTTATAATCAAGTCAGTTAAGCAAAATCTTTGTAATAGTTTTGTAAAATTTTGGAACACAAAAAGAAGAGATACAAAGAGTAGTAAATTAGATACTTATTTCAAACTGAAACTTGTTTTTCGAAAGAAATGTATCTATCTTTAAACAATTTTCAATTGAGAAGTGCCATATGTAAAATCAGAATCAGTGCACATGATCTCAAAATAGAAAGAGACAGGTATAAAACTTTATATATAGAAAGAGACCAAAGGCTTTGTAAGAAAAGTACTCTAAATCTGGTTGAAGATGAACAACATTTTATTACTAGTGGTCCAGCATACAATAATGATAGGGAGATATTTTTCAAGGAGATAAACTGTATCTGTCCCAATTTTATATATCTTTCAAATGAGGCAAAATTTGTTTGGTTATTTACTAATGAAAATTGTCTATACTTAAATATTTAGGGAGCTATATTATCACATATCTAGATGTTAGACGAAATGTTAATTTAATGTATGTAATAACAATGATAATTGTAATGATTTTATAGTTCTGATCCTGCCTGGAATCAAATGTATGTGATTTTTATAGAATGAGGATTATAATAACATCTGTCTGAACTTTTTAATGTTTCATTTTAATATATAAAAATGTTTTTCTGTTACAAATCATGATGTATTGTTTTATGTGTGCATGTTATGCTGCCCATCAAGGGCCCTTGATTGGAATAATAAATATTCTTATTCTATTCTATTCTATAGTATTTATACCATGAAACATTGTGGGTCTTAATTTCTGGTTCCTAACTTTCATTTTCAACCATTTAAAAAGGCCAATAAGCTCATCACTAGAAGCAGAGTGTGCCACCCTTTTCCCGATTCGTTTTCTATTTCTTAGAGTTCTTCCCATTTATTTTGATATCCACATGTCAAATGCACATGTAAACAAACTAGCATTCGTGTACTGCCATCTGGTGGACAGAAGACGACAAGGGGTTTTCCAGTGAGAACGAACCAAATAATTTTAGTTCGATTCCGAAGATCTATGTACTGCAAAAAAACATTATGATCATCCTCATAAGAAGTTACTCGAGAGAAATTGGGATTAATTAGAAAAAAATGACGAAAGGAATAATGCATTTATATACCGAATAATAGATAAATAACGATTAAAACATCGAAATTGATAGAACTATCTACTCGCCTGACCAATCCCATTGTCATAAAAATGGCATACAGGGGAGTTCAAACTTCTAAGGTAATAAATACATTGAAATTGCAATTCATGTTAGTCGTAATGGGTAAAAAATAAAACATTGAACATGTTGAATTGCCATTGCTCTTTTATTTATCCAGGTGTCTCCTGCATACCTACACGGAAACAGCACCAGTCATACTTTCGCTTTCAGTGCAGTTGCAGAACTTCTTGGTGAGCATCCTTACAAAGTATAAACAAACTGAAAAGTAATAAAATCCTGGTTCTGTCATGTAAATAAATGAATTTTAATCTAAGTGGGAAAATCTATCTACAGAAGATTCATCATTTTCAACTTGAGAAATGTCATAATTATTTATATTGCATCAGATCAGGAACATATAAAAGCCTACGAGACTTCCGTTAGATAGATACTGTTCCCAGATCAGATGCAGATCCAGATTTTGAAAAAGAGGGGCCGCTCCACAAGGGGCAGGGCCTGGGCACCCCCTAAACAGGTTGGGTACAACCCACCAAATGGGGAATTATTCCCCAAATGAGTAAAACAATCCCTCATTTGATAGTGCTAAAAGCAAATTTTCTTAACTTAGTTTTTTTTTACTTAAAATGGCATATATTCATAAAAAATGCAGCAAATTTTCCAAAATATGAATAGCCCTTACCTGATATACTGAGAAGTTAGAAGCCTATGAAAACTTAAACAAGTTGCTTTTAAAAAAAAAGTCAATACGTGAACCTTAGAACTTTTTTATGCTAATTGTTATTTTAACTGAATTGTAAATTATATCTCAGTATTTTCATTACCATGTGTGTGTAGGATAATATTTTCTTTTTATTGTAAATCAAGACAATTATGGCATGTTGAGAGTGGTGTTAAATATAAAGTAGGGAGATGAGGAATGTTTTTTTTTCAATAGTTCATTTCTGGATGGTGTTCACTAAGCTTTCATTTTTATATGACCGCAAAAAAATTTTGTGGTCGTATATTGGTATGACGTTGGCGTCGTCGTCGTCCGTCGTTGTCCGAAGACACATTGGTTTTCGCACTCTAACTTTAGTTTAAGTGAATGGATCTTTTTGAAATTTGACCATAAGGTTAAATACCACAAAAGGAAGGTTGGGATTGATTTTGGGGGTTATGGTACCAACAGTTAAGGAATTAAGGGCCAAAAAGGGGCCAAAAATAAGCATTTTCTAGTTTCCAGACAATAACTGTGGAACGGTGTATGGATCTCTCTGAAATTATACTACAAGTTTCCATACCACAAAGGGATGGTTAGGATTTGCTTTGGGGGGTTATTGCTCAAACCGTTTAGGAATTAGGGGCAAAAAAGGGGGAAAAACAGGGTTGTCCTGGTTAATGGACAAATACTTTAGTACAAAACATAATTTAAAGCAGTGTAAGGGAGATAAATCAAATACATCATTGAAATTATCTCCCTTACACTGCTTTTAAATTATGTATAAAGTAATGGTTAATGAACAATAAAGATAATTTAAAACAGTGTAAGGGAGGTAATCCAAATACAACGTTTTGGTTACTTCCCTTACACTGCTTTTAAATTATGTTTAAAGAAATGCATATTTATAAAGGAAGACCAGTAAAAATATCTGCAAATGTTGCATCTTTTTTTTTTACAAAAAAATCCATATGAAAGATTTGACACTATATTTTTAATTCTATTATAAAATAGATTAAGTTAGCACTATGGTAAATTTAAATGGGTAATTATGGTTGCCAACTCCATTGGAAATTTGAATTGAGATTATGACCATATCTTGAGGGAAAGAATTTTTTGGGGGAAAAAAGGGGGGGGGGGATAAAAAGAAATTGTGGGGGTCAATTTTTTCTCATTTCAGATTTCAGAAATTAAAAAGGATTATTCTTCAAAAATTATTTTTTTTTCAAATTTCAAATACTGTAAATTCAGAAATTATTGCGTGCATTTATTATTGCGATTTTGATATTTTAGACTAAAATGCGATTTTAATTTTTGCGATATTGAGAAAAATTCTGTTTAATTCATATAAAAAATTTCAAAATGCGAATTTAAATTATTGCGATTATAACCCTGTCGCATTTTTCGCAATAATAAAAACATCGCAATAATTTCTGAATTTACAGTATTGAAAAATTTCAAGAAGTCTTTAATTGCACAGTATGGCGCATTAGATTTGTAAAATCTTTGATCACATTTATTTATTTGTTATGCCGAATCTAACAGTGTATATAAATTTTTAATTTTGGGTCCAGTTTTCAAATTGGTCTACATTAAGGTCCAAAGGGTCCAAAATTAAACTTTGTTTGATTTTAGCAAAAATTGAATATATGAGGTTTTTTGATATGCTGAATCTAAACATGTTTTTAGATTTTTGATTTTTGGCCCAGTTTTCAAGTTGGTCCAAATTGGGGTCAAAAGGGTCCAAAATTAAACTTTGTTTGATTTCATCAAAAATTGAATTATTGGGGTTCTTTGATATTCCAAATCTAACCGTGTATTTAGATTTTTAATTTTTGGTCCTGTTTTTTAAATTGGTGTACATTAAGGTCGAAAGGGTCCAAAATGAAACTTAGTTTGATTTTAAAAAAAATTGAATTCTTGGGGTTCTTTGATATGCTGAATCTAAACATGTGTTTAGATTTTTGATTATGGGCCCAGTTTTCAAGTTGGTCCAAGATAGGGTCCAGTATTTAAACTTTGTTTGATTTCAACAAAAATTGAATATATGGGGTTCTTTGATATGCTGAATCTAACCATGAATTTAGATTTTTTATTTGTGGGCCCCGCTATCAAATTGGTTCATATTGAGGTCAAAAGGGTCCAAAATTAAACTTTGTTTGATTTCATCAAAAATTGAATTATTGGGGTTCTTTGATATTCCAAATCTAACCGTGTATTTAGATTTTTAATTTTAGGTAGCAATACACAGTTAGGAGTTTGGTTTCGCATTTTGGCCCCGGTGGATTTTTCAAATATGAAAGTTATTGTGTAATAAAATTCATTTTTAGACAGCTGAGTACTAATTTAGCCTTCAAAGGTGGTTTATAAGAACATCAAGATTATTTTTTACATGTTTTATGGGCTATTTTCTGTTTGACTCTCCGTATTTTCATAGCTAGACCGGTCATCGGTCCAGAAATTAATGTAATGTTTACAAACACTTTTTTTCTACACGAAGTTTTTGACGCAATTTTACAAAAAAATGAGACGAAAGACATATGATTTTCATTGGATTTATTGAAAGATATATGTAAACAGTTTCAGAAAAGGTATTACTTGAAGTGATTGAAATTCTACTTTTGGTCAAATTTTGGGGAAATATGTGACATCTTTTCCCCCCTTTTTGCTATATTTTATAACAAAAAAATGCAGATTGTTGCCATGGATACACCAAGGAGAAATTATATTTTACCATTTCATATCCTGGATATGAAATCTATGGAAGATTCTGATTACATACATATGCACATATATGACACAAACAGTAGGCTTAATATTGCAAGAAGGCAATGAAAAGGGGATGGTAAAATTTATGAGGGAAAATTTTAATATTTTTTCCTAACTGTTTATTGCTACCTTAAGTCCCGTTTTTTAAATTGGTCTACATTAAGGTCCAAAGGGTCCAAAATTAAACTTAGTTTGATTTTAGCAAAAATTGAATTCTTGGGGTTCTTTGATATGCTGAATCTAAACATGTGTTTAGATTTTTGATTATGGGCCCAGTTTTCAAGTTTGTCCAAGTTGGGGTCCAAAATTAAACTTTGTTTGATTTTAACAAAAATTGAATATATGGGGTTCTTTGATATGCTTAATCTAACCATGTATTTTGATTTTGGACATTGGACCATAATAGGTAAATTAAAAAAATTCAAGTTCTTAGACCACATTCTTTCTGTGTCAGAAACCTATGCTGTGTCGATATTTAATAACAATCCAAATTCAGAGCTGTATCAAGCTTGAATGTTGTGTCCATATTTGCCCCAACTGTTCAGGATTCGACCTCTGCGGTCGTATCAAGCTGCGCCCCAGCGAAGCATTTTATTACCAGTGTGAAAGGTCAAACTACTACCAGTGGATGACACATTTAGGGTGTTTATTGGTAGAGGTAATATTTCACCTAGAATCCCTCAGTAATTTTATATATTTTTCTTTTTAAAATACACATTTTTCAGAATAAGTACAATATTTTGTTTCATAAAATGTGGAAGTTTTATTCCTACCAAATAAGACAAAATCTACTTGCTTACCATTTTATTTTGTGCCGTATTATCCTGTTCCATCTTAGAAATGGGTTTGGATCCAGCTGATACGTTCAATTTGCTGCTTATACATGTATACTTATATACCTGTCCAAATCCGGAGCCTGTTTTTTTGTTTGCTTATTATCGTGTCTCTTTTTCGTTTTTTTTTGTTTAAAAATATTGCCATTGAATTATATCTTGTACAACACTGGTCAATTTGATGTCATTTAGCTCGCTTTGCTAAGACTCAACATTCAATGCCATGTTTATTGAAAAGTTCTGTCATTGGCAAGCATAGTTTACCAAATATTATATAATCATATCAGTCACAGGATAATTTGATTATTATGAAATGCGGTTCCTTCAATCAACATATGTAATAAATCTCAAAACTTTACTCTGTTTTTTGCTAACTTATGTTTGTTGCCTATAATTCAGAAATTTAACAGTGTTTTGGGATTTTTTGCTTAAAGTTAACTTTTTAAGCATGGGTCCCTTTTTAAAAGTCTCCCAACTACTACCTCATATGTGAACTTAAGTATAGGGGAAATTTTGTTCGCTATGTTAAAGAAATCTTCAACTTGCTCTATTCTGACTGTGAAGACCATAAAACCGTCATCTCTATATTGACAGTGTAATTTGGTGTTTTCTTTCCATTTGAACTTATCTAAGATATTTATTAATAGGACAGACAGATGCAGATATGTGCATGATGGTGAAAATATACCACCTATGGAGGGGGCACTCCTATAACTTGTTTGTATAACTTTCCATTAAACTCAAATTTATTGTTTCTTAGAATTAATTAAACAAATGCAGTTTAATCTTTTTTGTTGAAATCTTTAAAGGATATTCTTTTGTGTCAATTAATTCTTCTGCATTGATAACTGTTTCTATTAAATTATCAATGATCATATTTGTGTACATTTATGTTTCATCATAGGCAATAAGAATGCATTCCCTTTTTACC